AATCATGTTGGGCATAACAGGAGCAGGGCCATAGCCAGGGTCTGAGTTTTAGTGAGGTTCCCAATAGCAATACAATTAGCCGCTACACATTAACTTACATTAACTCAGAACCAGGATGAAAAACTATAATTTAATATGTACAGAGGGATCTAATAAAATACATTATTAACAAAAGGTAAACAAACTGGAAAAGTATATTTCCTGAAGAAAATGTGGTGTTTGATTGATAGGATAGGATAGCCAGAACATGTGAAAGTTGGTTTGGTGTCTCTTGAACGGTTCAAGAGTTACTCTTGGTGGGTTATTTTATGCAAATGTAGGGAAACTTGTATAGTTAAAGTTGATAAAGATCTTAAAGAATTTGAAGTTAGGATAGCCTGAAGGTTTTAAACATGGTCGTATAGCTTAATTGGCCAAGGAGCAGGACCATTTTAAATAGCTACCACTGTACTACTGGTTTTAATTCAAACCCATGTTCATTTATGCATATGTTAAATGCTTATAAAAAGTATAAATAGTATAAAAAATCGCAATGCAAGAAATCTAAGTTGGGTAAGTCTGAAAATCTCAACGTGATGTTGGCGTTGATCGCTTAAACGGTTAAAGAGCAGTGGCGAATCCAAATACACTACATGGGCAAAAGTATGTGGACACCTGCTCGTCTGAACATTTCATTCCAAAATCATGGGCATTAATATGGAGTTGATCCCCGCTGTGCTGCTATAACAGCCTCCACTCTTCAGGGAAGGCTTTCCACTAGATGTTGGAACATTGCTACGGGGACTTGCTTCCATTCAGGCACAAGAGCATTAGTGAGGTCAGGCATTGATGTTGGGCGGTTAGGCCTGGCTCGCAGTCGCCGTTCCAATTCATCCCAAAGGTGTTCGATGGGGTTGAGGTCAGGGCTCTGTGCAGGCCTGTCAAGTTCTTCCACACTGATCTAAACAAACCATTTCTGTAAGGACCTCACTTTGTGTGCGGGGGCATTGTCATGCTGAAACAGGAAAGGGACTTCCCCAAACTGTTGCCACAAAGTTGGAAGCACAGAATCGTGTAGAATGTCATTGTATGCTATAGCGTAAAAATTTCCCTTCACTCGAACTAAGGGACCTAGCCCGAACCATGAAAAACATCCCCAGACCATTATTCCTCCTCCAAACTTTACAGTTGGCACTATGCATTGGGGCAGGTAGTGTTCCCCTGGCATCCACCAAACTCAGATTCGTCCGTCGGACTGCCAGATGGTGATTCATCACCCCAGAGAACGTGTTTCTACTGCTCCAGAGTCCAATGGCGGTGAGCTTCACACATTTTACATTTACGTCATTTAGCAGACGCACTTATCCAGAGCGACTTACAGTTAGTGAGTGGGAATCGAACCCACAACCCTGGCGTAGCAAGCGCCATGCTCTACCAACTGAGCTACACGGGACTACTCCACTGCAGCCGACCCTTGGCATTGAGCATGGAGATCTTAGGCTTGTGTGCGGCTGCTCGGCCATGGAAACCCATTTCTTGAAGCTCTCGACTAAAAGTTATTGTGCTGACGTTGCTTCCAGAGGCAGTTTGGAACTCGGTAGTGAGTGTTGCAACCGAGGACAGACGATTTGTATGCGCTATGCGCTTCAGCACTCGGCGGTCCTGTTCTGTGAGCTTGTGTGGCCTACCAATTTATGGCTGAGCCATCGTTGCTCCTAGATGTTTCCATTTCACAATAACAGCACTTACAGTTGATAGGGGCAGCTCTAGCAGGGCAGAAATGTAATGAACTGACTTGTTGGAAAGGTGAGCTCTTCAGTACCGGCCATTCTACTGAGTCTATCAAGATTGCATGGCTGTGTGCTCGATTGTATACACCTGTCAGCAACGGGTGTGGCTGAAATAGCCGAATCCATTAATTTGAAGGGATGTCCACATACTTTTGTATATTTAGTGTATCTCTCTCTCTCTCTCTCTCTCTCTCTCTGTCTCTCTCTCATTGATTCCACCTCAAGAGAAACCCTGTGTGGGCTTGGTGTGAGCTATTTGTCATATTATCTGATCTGGGCATGCACTTCCCTTTCTCTCACACTCACACTGTGGTTTCATCCCAAATGGCACCCTATCCCCTAGTGCACTACTTTTGACCAGGACTTATAATGCTATGGTTAAAAGTAGTGCACTATATTGGGAAGAGGGTGCCATTTGGGATGTAACCTATATGTGGGAGAGGGTGAAAGTCAAAGGGGCTTGCCTGAGATCTATTAGTAAATAAACTGATGATGCTACTGCAGGTATGCAGCTATGTGTTATCTGCATCTCAGCCACTCATACAGCTATATATGGTCATCATCAGTGTTAGTCATAGCTGAGGTCAGGGAATACCTGGTTGTCACCCACCCTCAACCTATCCCCGGTCCTGCTCACACACTGTTACCATGACGCCAGAGAGACTACGCTATGGAAGCAACATGCTTCCTGATAATAAGCAAATGGAGCTCTGATGCTATCTAAGAAGCGTTCATACACAAAACTACCTGTGATGTCAGAGACAGATACTAATGTTATGTAACAAAAGCTTGTTAACATGTTGAATGGATGCCCCCCTACATAGTGGTTGAAGGCAGAGTTGTAATTTAAATAGTACGCAAACTTTACCAAAGCAAACTCTATCATCGGAATTTGCCATTTTTTAAAAGGTTTTCAAGAGTAAGAACTAGTACAGTATCTATATGAGCTGACTGACTGCTCTGTGGTGATTTTTGGACAGATGATTATTCATCCGAAAAAATTATCACAGAGACGAAGCTGACCAGAGGTGAAAAAGAGGTACAAATCATAACTTCCCCCCTTCTCCCACTCCCCCTATACTCACTCATAGAAAGAGATACACCAACTGTTTTATCTGGCTCTTCATATGGACAAGAATACGTTGTTATGAAGTCAAATAAACATGATTAAAACATGTTGGCTTTTCATTTTATTCAAGTTAATGATATGACATGTTATTCAGTTATTCAAGTAACAAGACAGCAAAAAGTACAGTGTATGAGACAGAAAGTCTGAAGAAAATATACAAAATGTTATATTGAAATGAATGTGTGTACAAAACAGCACTGGTCATCTCATTGGATATACTACACTGAACAAAACGCAACATGTAAAGTGTTGGTCCCATATTTCATGAGTTGAAATAAAAGATCCCCAACATTCTTCGTACAAACAATACGTTTTTTTCTCTCAAATGTTGTGCACAAATTTGTTTACATCCCTGTTAGTGAGCATTTCTCCTTTGCCAAGATAATCCATTCACCAGGCAGGTGTGGCATATCAAGAAGCTGATTAAACAGCATGATCATTACACAGGTGCACCTTGTGCTGGGGAAAATAAAAGGCCACTCTAAAACACAATTCCACAGATGTCTCAAGTTTTGAGGGAGCGCGCAATTGGCATGCTGATTGCAGGAATGTACACCAGAGCTGTTGCCAGATAATTTAATGTTAATTTCTCTACCATAAGCCACCTGCAACATTGTTTTAGAGAATTTGGCAGTAGGTCCAACCGGCCTCACAACCACAGACCACGTGTATGGCGTCGTGTGGGCGAGTGGTTGGCTAATGTCAACGTTGTGAACAGAGTGCCCCATGGTGGCGGTGGGGTTATGGTATGGGCAGGCATAAGCTATGAACAACGAACACAATTATCAATGGCAATTTGAATGCAGAGATACCGTGACGAGATCCTGAGTCTCACTGTCGTGCCATTCATCCGCAGCAATCACCTCATGTTTCAGCATGATAATGCACGGCCCCATGTTGCAAGGATCTGTACACAATTCCTGGAAGCTGAACATTTCCCAGTTCTTCCATGGCCTGCATATTCACCAGACATGTCACCCATTGAGCAAGTTTGGGATGCTCTGGATCGACGTGTACAACAGCGTGTTCCAGTTCCCGCCAATATCCAGCAACTTCGCACAGCCATTGAAGAGGAGTGGGACAACATTCCAAGGGCCACAATCAACAGCTTGATCAACTCTATGTGTCGCGCTTTATGAGGCAAATGGTGGTCACACCAGATAGTGACTGGTTTTCTGATCCACTCCCCTACCTTTCTTTTAAGGTATCTGTGACCAACAGATGCATATCTGTATTCCCAGTCATGTGAAATCATAGATTATGGCCTAATGAATTTATTTCAATTGACTGATTTCCTTATATGAACTGTAACTCAGTAAAAACTTTTAAATTGTTGCATGTTGCATTTATGTTTTTGTTCACTATAAAAGAAAACTGCATACCCAACAGTTACAAGAACAATGATCACACAAATAAAATAACAAATGAATCAGTCATGTACATGGTGTAATTTGCATAGCAATTCTCAACATCACTTCTCATATTCCTTAGGAACAAACACAAATAAGTTCATTTTAAGAACTTCACGTTTAAAACAATATAATTGTACAATTTGTACAAACCACACATACACGGTCAGAAATCATAGTTTTCATATTGACACAAAATAATAGAATGACGTCTCAATCACAAGACCCATTCAGATGCATTTCTTTGAGAAACAAACTTGTATAAGATGCTTATATATCATGTATCTACAGAACATCCCACAAGATGTCACCTGATTCCACTATTAGCCAGTGAAACACAGTGTTACTGAGTAACACATATCTTACAACCAATGAGCTGCTGCATTGTTGAGAGATGACAAATTAAGGCAGCTACAGAAACCACTCTTCAGACATTGGTCAATTTCATTACACGAGGCCAGTGCCAGTGAAGTGCAGGCTATTAACCTGCTCTACACAATTTTCTGTCCTCTTTCAAAAAGCATCACACACTTTCACCATTGAGTCTTCATGAGTCCTTAACTCAACTTCCTGAGAGTCTCTGACCTAACAGTTCACCAGTACCAGGCTAAGGTAACAGTTATCTCTGATATCTTTAAAATACCAATTTCCTTCAGAAGTCCTACTTAAAGTGTATTTGAGTTAGGCTCAGGGTTAGCCATACTCTGTAGCAGGGGGACCTCTCACTAGATTATAGTATCCAGCCATTGCCCCCAGGTCAATGTACAGGGATCCCTTTCTCCTCAGGTGGGCAGAGTCCTCAGGCTCAGAGTACAGAGAGGATTCTGTGAAGAGAAATAGAATAGTTGTTGTATTAATAGGTGCCATCACATGCAAATGTTTGAGTGTGTACTCTGTGTCATTTGAATATCAGAGAAACATGCACTTTAAAACATAGTAGATGTACCGTTTATTAGCATATCCCTAAAAGTCCCTACCCTGTGAGGAACAGTATGTAGAACGGTTTATTTTAGGGAGCAACAATGATAGGGAACAGTAACATATAGAAGTCCCTACCCTGTGTGGTGTCAGGCTGCTGGCTGTGCTGCCTCAGTAGAGGGTGGGAGGCCTCCACCAGGGCTGAGTCCAGGCTCCAGCAGCGTGGCTGTTCCTCTCTGGGAGGGTTGATGGCCTCGTCCCTCAGGAGCTCGGCTGCAGAGCTGCGCTTGGCAGGGTTCCTCTCCAGGGATCTCTCCAGGAAGGACCGCATGACACCGCTGCAGTCCTCTGCTATGTCCTCCAGGGGAGGGGCCTGCTTGTGGATCTGAGGGGAGAGAGGAGGATATGGTCAGAGGTCTGAAGTAATACCTTCAGGTAAGGTGAGTTTAGATGGATGGGTTTTGCACTTTTGGCACTATTCCATTGGTTCCATTGCACCAGGCAAGTTCAATCAAGCACAGCTAAAGTATTTGAAGGAAAACAACTGATCGAATCTACTCCTCTATGCTATCTTCCTGTCTTGTTAAATACTGTTTCTGGTAGGGTGAGACTAAACGCTATTCTGCATTGAATCTGCACCTCTATGCTATCTCACGCCTCCATCTATTGAGTGTAATATCTTGTAAAACAAGTCTGATGTACAAGAAAGGGCTTCCCTATGACAGTGAAGAATGAGGAAGTGAGTCCTTCCTTAAAGTAGAGATTAATAACGCTTCAAAAAGAGAAACAGTACCTCTTCAAATCAGGAACATGGTCATGGAAAAACACTGTAAAAAGTAAAACGGAACTACTGTACTGAGCCTGAGGGAGTAAACTACTAACGTGCCAGAGACAGAGGCTGCCTCCCAAATGGCAACTTATTCCCAACATAGTGCACTACTTTGACCAGGGCCCATAAGGCTCTGGTCAAAGTTATTGCACTATAATAGGGAATAGGGTGCCATTTAGGACGCAGTGTCACGTTAAGGGACCTGCCTCTGATGACGTTTGAGAAAAATCATCTTGCAAGAACCTAGGCCTATGCCATGGAAATCTGAACCAGGTCATGGAAAAATATGCGACTTTTGGGGGGGTGCAGCAAAACAAGTGAAAATGAAATTCTACTAGATATAGCCTACTTTGTCTCTGACCTACCTTTAACATAAATAGTTTGTTTGATCTTCAGTGAATGTTAAGTAAAACTGTGTTGGTCTGTTTCAAGGAATGACTGGCCACAAGCGAGGGGTTTCCCCTCCTTCAGCCCTGTCAGTGTAGCGAGAGGAAGGCCAGTAAGTTCACCATTCACTCGTCTATACACTTCATCCATTCACTTTCCGTTAATACTTACTGGAGTTGTCACTGATTATATCCCATGCAGAAACAGCCTCTGCTACACTCCTTTCTTGGCTCTTTATGTGTGCTGTCAATTTCGATGCATTTATTGGAAGTGTATAGAAGTCATTTGTGAACTATCAGGTAGGAAGGGTAGGGAGGGAGATAGGTAGGGTGGTACTTACTATGTAGAGGTAGGAAGGGTAGGCGGTGCGTGGGTATCTCCTGACCCAGGGCGGGCTGCCAGTCTGCATGTGGATGATGGTGGTGCCCAGGCTGTAGATATCTGTCTTGGTGTTGTGTCCTCGACACAGAACCACCTCCGGGCTCATATACATCTGGGGAAGAAAACACAATACAACTGTTACTCAAAGGGTCAATGGCATAATGCCAATTGTAGAAGAAGAAAATAAGTGTTTGGAAAGTACACCATTTTTTTTCTTTATCAAATGTAATTTCCTTTATGTAGTCATGAAGCAAGTGATAATAATAACAATCACAACATGAAAAAAAGCAGAGAAGAGTTTTCTCTGATAATGCACAGTGTCTCTATGACTATGTAATAATACAGGAACACTAAGAGCAGCTGGGCTTATGATAGGCTCTGTACAGTACTGAACAGGTAATACGGTACTCGTGGTATGGTCTGTGGAGTATGAAACAGTAAACACACCAGACCAGAGTCCATCTCTCAACTGGAATTTCCAGCCTACTGTGCTGCCTGTTAGCTAATGTCAGCCTCAGCCTCAGCCTTAATGTCAGCCTCAGCAGCTCCACTCCGTTGGCTAGCTGTCTGTTTGGTAGCTATCTCCCTTCCTGTTATTAATGCTGTGCTGGGTGTCTATCTCTCTGCTCTGGGACTTTCCCACTCAGCCACCAGGGGTATAGGTTACCACAGAGAGTAGTGGAGTGAATTAGTAACAGGAGGATGAGGAGAGGGAGGGTCTTAAGAAAGATCATAGTGATTGCCTCATCTATATTTTCCCAACTGTGGATAAGGATGTCAATTTGAATCTGAAAATGCTAGTGTTCAAAGGCATTCAACCTTAAACACTGTAGCCTATGCATTACACACAAAAACCAATACTCCACCGTACAAGATCTCTTCATGTTTGATGTGATTTCCCTGCACCTTTTTTTGACTGAGACACTGTGAGAGGAGCACTGACTTGTCTTCTGAATAAATCATTATCAGAGCGTCCTGAGGCATCGCGTGATCTCAATGGTTCGGGTCAATTCCATTTCAATTCACAATTCAGGAAGTAAACTGAAATTCCAATTCCAATTTTTTTTAAATCATTGACTGAATTGAAAATGAATTGACCCCAACACTCTAGGTCATGTCATAGACCAGAGGGTGCATTTTGTTGTCATGTCATAGGCATGAGGGTGTTGAAGAGAACAAACAGCAGAATCACTCACCTCTGTGCCTCGTAGATCCCTAGGGGTGTATACCTTCTCTGTCATCTGTACCGTCAGGCCAAAGTCCACCAGCACCGCCTTGTCTGACATCAGGACGATGTTGCTGGCTGAAGAGAGAGAGGGGGAGGGAGGGAGAGTGAGTGAGTGAGATTCACCATAAAAGCTGCTTAGAATATTTGCTGCAAGATACAGTATGATCTCAGAACCCAGAACCAAATATAGTGTGAGCTAACTAGCTACAGTGCTAAGTTATTAGTCTATCATGAAAGATTAGATACAGCACTACTTTCAAAGGTCAATATTTATTCTATAATTTGCTAAAATTGCAATTGACCTACTATATATGTGATGGGAACTGTACGTACATTTAGAAGTACACTATATAGGGAGCTCTGTGGTTTCTTAAGGTGTCTACGGCTGAGTTTCCTATGAAGCCGTTGCTTTAAGATGCAGTCTACTCTAAAGCCCTTTCCTTTCCTGGTTACATTTGACATAAAGTGGATGATGACAGTCACAGGCCCCAAATACACCACTAGCGTGCATGTGTGCATGTGTAGACATACCTGGGTTCATTTTCTGCTGTATTTGGGGCAAGAATTTGAGAAACCCTGGGTTTCTAAACCCTGGTAAAAGTAGAGGCTATAGGCCTATTCCTCTTACTCTCACTCTTATGCTTACTCTTACACTACTCTGTCTACTAATGTGTGTTTTTCAACGTTTGTTTTGGGCTCTTACTCACGTTTGATGTCATGGTGGATGACATTGTGAGAGTGTAGGTACTCCAGGCCCCTGAGGACCTGCTTGGTGACCCAGATGATCTCAAACTCCCTCATGGGGCCACAGCTGTCCAGTTTTTCCAGAACCGACCCTCCCTCGCCAGCTTCCATGAACAGGTGGATGTTCTGGTCCCAGAGGAGAGCACCATAGAGCTCTGCAATGTTCTCGTGATGGAACCGGGCCTGGATCTCCACATCGGCTGGTTTTAAGTGTTCCATGGGGATCTAGGAGCATGGATAGAACCATTAAGGCATAAAGCACATCCTATAAGTATCTACAAAGCCTTTAGTATGTAAACATTCCACTGACTATTGAATAACTAGACCAGCAAGCCACTCCCATCATGTGTAACTATTTGTGGGCTGATATAATATCAATGCTATCCTCTCCATAGGTGAATACCAGTAGGCCTAATCATTAAGCTCAAAATGAAAACATAGATATCAAATGAGAACAGGAGCTTTCCCACTACATGTGTTATTTTCTAAAACCAGAGATGTTACTGTGGGGGGTTTCAGTTGAGTTTCTTGTGGGGTAACCAGCCAAATACTTTTCAGTTTCCATCCATATGCAATACTGGCTTTTGAGATGTGTCGCAGTGAAAACAATTATATTTTTACTTAGTGTTATTGCAAGTTTCAAAGTGTTTGTGTGCAAAGGCCTGACTGACTTGACATGTGACATGCTGCTTTGACATGGATTTTTGTCCTTGTTTTAGTCCTTGCTGTTGCTTTGAAAACAAAACTTCCTGGAGGACATCAATCTTGGCACATAGGCAGTTTCGAGAAATCCATTCTGCAAACATGCCAGACATTCCAGCACGAGAGCTCATTGACTCACCAGTTTGCATGCCATTCTCTTCCTGGTTATGGTATCCTGGGCCAAGTGGACTTTCCCAAAGGAGCCCTTTGGAACATGGCCGCCAGAGCCTGGAGTCTTGTAGGTCCACTTCCATGGAAATAGAAACACATCCGAATCGATGCGATAGTGACCCTTCTTCAGCACCATGTGTTTCTGCACAGAAGTAATGAAATACAGTGTGAGAGGTGTTTCTGACACAGTAAAGGCAGTTAAAACCCTGTACAAAGAAGTATACTATTCTTAACTCTACTCATGAACAGACAGACACACACACACACACACAGACTTTCACTCACACACACATGCAATGTAATTTCTAACTCTATGAGTCCTTTGTAAGCAGATACATAGCCTACTCAAAATACTAACCAATGTCCTGAAGTCTCACCTTGTTCAGTAACACACCCATCTCCTCCGGCAGGTGCTGCAGTGCTTCTGGCTCCATGTTAGAGATCAGGTTGACGAAAGAGAGCAAGTCCGACACCGTCCCGTACCTGACCCTACCACCACCGTTCTCCTGTTGTGTCTCCTGGGTCCCTCCTGTCACTTCGTCCCCCGAACCATCCACAGTCTCCTCGTTCTCGTCCATCTCCTCCTGAGAGAGACCCTCCTCAAACGACACACCATTGTCTTCCTCTTCTTCCTCTTCCTTGGTGTGGTAGAGACTTTCCACCACATCGATTATGTCCTCTATGTTCATGTGAGCCAGCAGGAGTTCTATTCCAGCATTGTCATATTTGTAATCCATCTTGTTTGATTCTCTGCTCCTAAATGGGTTCTGAAATGGAAAGTTGAGATTCCATGATGGAAAGATCCTTTGACATTCTGATACTGGTACAGCTTGTTGGGGAAGCAGAGCAAAGGAGGGGCAAACTAATCTATAGCCAAACTCGTTTTCATTGCAAATGAAGGGGATTTCACAATTAGCTGGGAGCCCCTGGTGAAATTGCACCCTCATGTTAGGGTACACAAACTCATGGACTTCAGAAGACATAATAAAGTGATAAAAACATATAACAGGCTAAATGTCCACTTCTCCTGAATCACATGATGTGCTCTCATTGTAGCCAAGTGAATGTACAGCAACAAATTGCCATCCCAACAAATAACACTAAACAGAACTAAAGTCATTGACACGTTTTGGAAAAGAAAGGTTGGAAGCAAATAAAGGTGAATCAGGATTAGTTTATAAAAGCGTAATATCAATATGATTACCTGAGTCTTTGTAATAACGTAGGATCAGGTCCGATTGTGCTCACTCCATTCTTGCGTCTGTATGCAGTCAATTCTAGCGCTCACTGAAGTCACCAGAAATGAAGTTGTCAAAAGAGGAAGTCCATATCAGTCTCTGTGTTTAGGTGTAGTGTTGTGTTAATGAAAAACTATGCGAATGCTGTGAGTGTTATAGTCATATGGTTCTTTTGTAGTTTCGTTTTTCTTTTCATTTTCCTTAATTTCCCCGTAATATTTGATTTCCATAGGCGAACGGATTAATAGAAAAAAAACGAATAGAAAGACTTGCTGTTCATCAGATTCCATAGAATAGTTCGGTATATTCCAATATTGTGCAACTGCAGTCAGCAATTCAGGGCGTTCCTGCTGCATGTGGGCATTTCTGCATCTGCACACCCCCCCCCCTCGAGCATCCCATTGGTTCCTGCGTGCCAGACAGGCGGGGGTGAAGGACACTGTCTACCCTTTGCATGCTAGGGCGACACCGTGTGCTAGCTAACTAGCTAGTTTGCGACAGTGTGTGCCAGCATGCTAGTTAGATAACACACTGTGTCGCCCCTGCGATGTCTCGTGTTGTTGAAGTTCAATAACAGTTATATGAGAGGTAGACGTCGCTCCCTGCCTCCCGCCTGCTGTGTACCAGAGAAAACCGTGTCCGACAGGCGGGGGCGAAGGACACTGACGTCTACCCGTCGTCCCCGCCTCCCGCTTGCACAGCAATGGAGAGGCTAGGGCAACACCGTGTGCTAGCTAACTAGTTTGTGACAAAGTATGCCAGCATGCTAGTTAGATAGCACACTGTGTCGCCCCTGCGATGTCTCGTGTTGTTGAAGTTCAATAACAGTTATATGAGAGCTGACTTAATAGTGACGGAAGTGTAATGAAACTAAAAACAGGTGGTTGCATTACAGATAGCAGACAGTCGTTTAAATACAAACAATTCAATTGATCAGTTTGGTATTGCAAATGAGTAAAAACCCAATATTAATACTACAGCTGACTGAGCCTTCTCTGTTCTGTTTGAGCCGTCTCGGATGCCGTATAACAGAAGGCACACGCATGCGCTTTCATGCTACTCTCAGGGCATCCTTCTTTGGTGTGTGCAGGTTACATTTGAGAGGAAGCGGTAGCCTCTCAAAATGCTTCCAAAAACTACATTCATGCTTTCAAAGAAAGATCAGAACTAGAACTGCTTTTACGAAGACCAATGTACTCAAAAATAAAGATGAAATCGGTAGGTTTTTCATCCACCGATTAGACGCAACATGAGCTAGCTGACAGTTTTATTTATTTAAACTAGGCAAATCAGTTAAGAACAAATTCTTATTTACAATGACACCCGCAAAACCCGGACAACGGTGGGCCAATTGTGCGCCACCCAATGGGACTCCCAATCATGGCCGGTTGTGATACAGCCTGGACTTGAACCAGGGGGTCTGTAGTGATGTCTCAAGCACAGACATGCAGTGCCTTAGACCGCTGCGCCACTCGGGAGCCCAAGCTGACAGTTGTCCCAACTGTACTGCCTTTCTGCAGCTCAGGCTTCCTGCCACTTGTTAATTCATGTAGCTAGTAGTTTAGCTGATCATGCTCAACATTAAAATCATAGGGGTCACAAAGTTGTGGCAAGTAGCTAGCGACAACAACATACTAGCATGACATCTATATAGTTAGTTAGCTAGATGGATTAGGCCTACAGCAACTTAAGTTTAGAACCAAAGGATCGAGACAAATCTTTTTACACAGTCCAAGAGGAGAGGATAGAGCAGGCAGAGAGATCTGTCCTTATCAGCTGCCCTGCTAAAACCATCGACCAAAAGTTCCTCAAGTATTTATCCAGACATGGAAATATCAACAAATGTTTCTTTTATGTAAGCTATGTAAGTATTTCAGTGGTGCTAAGATATATGAATCTACAAATCAACACTAATATAAGGAGGTCTATCTTTTCTCCTACACAATGTGGGAATTTACACCCCCTCTCAATACTAAACCGTGACCTAAAGATATTGGTTAAAGTCTTAACAAAAACACAAAAACATGTTATAAGCAACCCGGTTCACCCTGATCAGGTCGGCTTTTTCCGACTCCGGTACGGCGCTGATAGCATATGAAGATTGCTTGATATAAAATGGGCTATGAGGACCTGCCAAACCCCCGCCATAGCTCTGTCCCTGGATGCTGAGAAAGCATTTGATAGGGTGGAGTGGGGTTTCCAATTGAAAGCTCTGGAGTCCTATGGATTTGGCCCCCACTTTATAGGATGGGACAAAACCCTGTATTCCGGGGCCAGTGCCACAGTTACCGCTAATGGAATTATTTCTAAGCAATTCAGGCCCCACAGTGGAGGTGTCATAATACCCATAAAACCTAGCGGTCAAACAGGGAAATGGTTCCAATCGTTTTCTCATCATCCACCAAATAAAACTCCTGGAGTCTATAGAGCGATCTTTGGAGTAATATCATCTGACTCCAGGCCCTGAAGAGAATATGGGAAAAAGACTTGGACTGCGATATTACCAAGGCAGAATGGAATGAGGTTTTCGACAGATGTCTCTAAAGCTAACTCAATTGAAAACTATACACAATTACCATTGGACTCCTAGTAAGCTTCACAGGGTCGGTCTGAGGCCCACAGGCGCCTGCTGGAGATGTTCATCTGAGGAGGAGACTTATCTACATATGGTATGGGACTGTGAAAAAATCAGGAGGTTCTGGACTGAAGTCGTAGTGTTCACCAGTCACAAAAACAAGTGTATATCCCTGGCCCTAGCAGTTGCCAAAAAACGTCTTGTCTGTAAATGAAAAGAATGGGCTACACCAAATATACACGACTGGACTAATAGCCAAACTTGAAAGAGTAATCTATCAAAACACAAGACAACGTGTAAATATGTGTATGAACATAAGATTCAACAACTGAGACATAAACTGAACAAGTTCCACAGACGTGACTAACAGAAATGGAATAATGTGTCCCGGAACAATGCGGGGGTCAAAATCAAAAGTAACAGTCAGTATCTGGTGTGGCCACCAGCTGCATTAAGTACTGCAGTGCATCTCTTCCTCATGGACTGCACCAGATTTGCCAGTTCCTGCCTTGAGATGTTACCCTACTCTTCCACCAAGGCACCTGCAAGTTCCCGGACATTTCTGGGGGGAATGGCCCTAGCCCTCACCCTCCGATCCAATAGGTCCCAGACGTGCTCAATGGGATTGAGATCCGGGCTCTTCGCTGGCCATGGCAGAACACTGACATTCCTGTCTTGCAGGAAATGACGCACAGAACGAGCAGTATGGCTGGTGGCATTGTCATGCTGGAGGTTCATGTCAGGATGAGCCTGCAGGAAGGGTACCACATGAGGGAGGAGGATGTCTTCCCTGTAACGCACAGCGTTGAGATTGCCTGCAATGACAACAAGCTCAGTCCGATGATGCTGTGACACACCGCCCCAGACCATGACGGACCCTCCACTTCCAAATCGATCCCGCTCCAGAGTACAGGCCTCGGTGTAACGCTCATTCCTTCGATGATAAACACAAATCCGACCATCACCCCTGGTGAGACAAAACCGCAACTCGTCAGTGAAGAGCACTTTTTGCCAGTCCTGTCTGGTCCAGCGATGGTGGGTTTGTGCCCATAGGTGACATTGTTGCCGGTGATGTCTGGTGAGGACCTGCCTTACAACAGCCTCTCTCAGCCTATTGCGGACAGTCTAATAAGAACAACAATCTACAGCACCAGTCAAAGGTTTGGACACACCTACTCATTCAAGACATCAAAACTATGAAATAACACATTTGGAATCATGTAGTAACCAAAAAAGTGTTATCTTTTAGCAATAGTTTGCTCATATAAAATATACAGAAATCTGGAGAGTTATGCTGCATTCATAACCAAGTGGGAAGATGGTAATTACCAGTTGTGAAGTCGTAAATACCAGTTGGATGCATTCACGTGCTTGGAATTTGTTGAGAAACACTGATTGGCTAATGGCCAAAAAGCTGCATCAACCATAAACCAAATGTACAGCTATCATTCTTATAAACACATTATAGTGTCCAAACATATTAATAGATAGCATTTTATAAATAATGTTTTGTTGTTACATTTAACTGCTGAAGGTCAGCATGCGGGAGAAATCGGAGCTCAGGGATGATAGATGAGTATCCCACTAATAATTATGAGTTGGAGGGGCGTTCAAGTGGATTTTTCCCAGTCGTATGTGGTAAATCCCACCTTATAGAGTTCAATAGGTACTCGCCCTCAAAACCATGAAAAGGAATAACCCAAGGAGGCCGAGTTGCAAAAATAATGTACAGTACCAGTCAAAAGATTGGACACACCTACTCATTCCAGGTTTTTTCTTTATTTTTACTATACTAAATAAAATACTAGGCTGTCTGAAGTTGTCTAACTGACTAAATGAAGATTGCTAGAATGCAGATTAGCATAGCAACATATACGATGTCCCTGGAACACATATAGGTACAACGTCAGCTTTAGTGCTAATTTAGGTGGCAAACATTGATACCAAGACAAAGTTGAATATAAATGATAGAGATTTCAAGCTTTAAGCACAAATATTGTTCACTCCAATGAGAACACTGTGTTTGTCTTCTCTCTTTCTTTATCTCAGATAAACCAACAAATCACCTCCCTTACAGAGACATACCAGCTAACGTCTGTCTGCGCTTCCTGGTCTGCTCGCTGCTGAACGACATAGCTGCTGCATATTTCCCAGAATGCACCATTCGGCCCTTTGGCTCCTCCGTGAACGGCTTCGGGAAGCTGGGCTGTGATCTAGACATGTTTCTGGACCTGGACGGCATCAGTGGAAGGAATCTGAAGGTGAGGATGGGGATGGAGGATCCACATCAGGGTCATGTTCAGTAGGGCACAACGTAGCAAAAGGTATTGCAATGGAAAGCAAAAATCTGTTTTGTTATTGAACTAAGTCCAGGTAGGAGTCTAAAGAAGGTGAGGAGGACATTTTAACCCTTTATACCAGGGATGGGACATTTTGATGGGGGTGGGTGAAATAGAAAATCTGAACTCATCATGAGGGGCTGCAGTCAGAGCCGGCCCTAGCCTTTTGGGGGCCTTAAGTGAAGCAAAACATTTTAGCGGCCCACCTCTTGACAGTGGAGAGAACATTTAAGTTTTAAAGTACATTTCCTGCAATTCTTGGTCACTGATAAGCGCCTAAATTGGAACTCAGTGGCTTTACAGTAACATACTAAATATAACGTCAGAGCTCAGGCTCTTCGCTTTACAGCGCTATATGGGATTCAACTGACAGCCGTTCTAAACGTGTATACCATGCGCAACAAAAATATGCTACTTTTTGACTACTTTTTGAAATATTTTGTTGTCTGAGTGAGGGGAATGCTGTAAATCGAGAGAAGTCGATGTGTTCTGAAGGATGAGACGTTGAGGATTATAATAAATACCGCTTTGATGTCGTACAAGCAAACCACACGCCCATCAGTCCAAATGTGCATTTCACATTTCCATATTTAAAAACTGTAATTTACAGTATCAACAATTATGATCAATTATGAAAGCCTAACACTGTAAAATCATATTTTATAACTTAGCTGGCAATAGAATAAGCTTTCAAATGATGCTCTCCTGATCCAGATTTACATTTTATAATGGGAAGTTTTTGGATTGCATAAACAACCACAGTAATTTTGTGATGGTGTGGCAGGGATGTGTTCCGAACAAAAAATGACAAGTGTGCTTGCTTCAGTTCCTCAACGGCAAAGCTAGTAGAGCTAAAATAAAAGCACCTTATAGTTGAAGGCTCTTTCCTTGAGTCATAAAAGTGCATTGAAATTACTTAGGAACTGTGCACAATTTGGAGAGGTGTGTGGCCACTTGGAGACACCAGTTAGACCTCTAATTCAAACCCTTGTAATACATTTTTCTTATGTTGCACCTACCCCAAAATTCCCATGAATATTCTTATTATGTTACTGAATATATCCAGAGTATTTTCAGATTTCACTATTGACAAATGCTGCGAAAAGTACAGTAAATGTAAAATGCACAAAAAATCAACAGTGTAATGTTTGGATTCAGTCGTGTCAGGTGAATTGTTGTGTCACCTTTGGTCTGATCGTTTCCCCATAATCTCCTAAGCGTTCTCTTTCAATTGCTACCATGGTCATGCATATGCTTTTTATATTTCTTCTGTTAGAAACATTTCAATTTGGCCCGACCCATATAGACCAATTTCCACAAGTGTAAAGGGTTAAGAAAAAAACACTTTAGGGGTGTTTCCCAAGAGCTTCGTAGCACTGATCATATGGACAATATATGCTTAGTGCTACAAAGCTTTCGGGAAACTCACTCCAAGTGATTATTATTGTTATTTGTCATCGTTCCTAAATACCAATATTGACCTAGGGTTGTTTTCATATCATAAAACAGCTGTAGAGAGATTGGTCTCACGTTTCTGCTGCATACCCTCTCCTTTTAATTACATTTATTTTTGTTTACATCTTTACAAGAACTCATGTAAGAAAGGAGATCAAGCACCTTGTTAAACCAGACCCCTACTGTCACTCTGTTGTTGAGCTGTAGAACATTTGTTCAGAGAAGGAGACGGGGGGAACTTCCTATAGAAAATGTATTTACCTTGACATAGTGTGGGAAAAGCCCTGTTGGAAACCCACTGAGCCTGAGGTCCTTATCAGTGTTTCTCTCTCTCTCAATTCAATTTCAATTTTCAATTCAATTGAAGGGCTTTATTGGCATGGGAAACATATGTTCACATTGCCAAAGCAAGTGAAATAAACAATAAAACATCTCTCTCTCTCTCTCACTCACACACTGGGTAAACAACAGGCTGATAAAAAAAGAGCAGAGGTGAGAGATGCACGCGATGCTACAAATCACCACTTCCTCTTCCTGTAGACAAGGCTGTTCAGTGGAAACGTAAGACCCTTGTGTATAAAGAGAGTTTGCAGAGCTTGTCAAAGTTGTATCTGTGAATATGTGAATGTTGAGTGTCACTCTGACTTGCAATAATGTACTCAAAAAGTCCTATGAGATTGACAGATGTAAGGTTATGCACTTATCTCTGTGTAGGGGCACGTGCAATTGTTTGCGTCTATACCCGCCATCTTCCTATGCATTTAAACTCTATGTTTCTGTAATGAAAAATGCTGTTCAATAAATGGTCTTGTGCCATCTGCCCAGCCAAAAGCAGGGATGTCTTTGGAGTACCAGACAAAGAGGTATGCGTCTGAGCGGGCAGTGACCCAGAGTATCCTGTCTGTGATTGGGGAGAGTGTAGACCAGTTTGGGCCCGGCTGTGTCGGGGTGCAGAAGATCCTCAACGCTCGCTGTCCCCTGGTCCACTTCACCCACCAACCATCAGCGTTCCAGTGTGACCTCACGGCCAACAATAGGTAAGACAAAGAAACACACATGGACTTGTTTGCACATACACACACAGACATGCAGACAGACACGCACACATGCATGCTAGCACGCAGACACACACACACACACACACACACACACATTGAATAGTCACTAAGCAAACTCCTATTGGTGTAATCAGTCTTCAATACTTGTTGGGTTAGTATTATTAAATCAGAAAGCCTTTTATAAAGCTTGACCTGTTCCTATTAAACAATTTCGAATCATTAAAGCAGAACAATGCCTGCAAACATACTTCTGCCTGCCTAGTTCTACTTCTATATAACCAATTTGTTATGATTTTGAATTGCTTAAGTTGTTTAAAGTTCACCTGTCCACAGAACTAATAGTCACTTTTTAAATGTCAATTGCTGTTTGTCATTTTGCTCTAATGCTTCATAGAAACTCTGTGTTGCCTTTCAAAACCTACTGGTGTGCCACAAACCAAACTGAAGCTTGAGTTGCGTAGAAACTGCTCTGTATGCTGGTTCCAAGCCGGCTACCCTGAAACTGGTCAGGCACCAGAGGAGAGAGAGCAGGTGAGAGAGCAGGAGAGAGAGAGAAAGCGAGAGCAGGAGAGAGCGAGAGAGAGAGCAGAAGAGAGATGCGTCATGTGTTTCACTTCTTCTTTCCTTGGCCCTAGGGGATACTGTGGTTTCTGTGGTCTCTAAAGTTAGCCTGAGAGTGATACACACCTGCTAATGATTAGAAACAAACCCACCCACGCCTCAGTTTCTAATGCAATCAAGTAGAGTAGAGACACCCTGACTGTGTGGCTGGGACCAAGGGGATTCCTCAATGTTTATGTTAAAACATCGAAGAGTATGGTTATACACGGTTTGTCATAAGGATCCTTGCAAAACAGAATGATATTTTGGTAGTGAGAATTACAATGTCCAGTTAAATGTTGCCCTCTAGTGGATATTGTGTTGCCACTGTGACTTTTTCATTTTCTCTGCTCCTAAACTTCTCTAAACTTCATAGTTTCTCTGTCTAACGTCAAAGTGAGATGTTTTGTACTGAGAATACATCATCATATCATCACGTAGGAATGGTGATAGAAAATAGCATGTTATACATGTTGTTCAATTCAAAAGTCCCAGACAATATCACGTCTCTCAGATTGTGAGGGTATTCTGTTTTTATGTCCTGTATGTTGTCTTGACTACCATTCTTTATGTGTATCATCATCATATTAAAAGCTTAGGAATGGTGATAGAAATTAATGTGTTAGAAATATCAATTCAAAGTCCCAGATAGTATCAAGTGTCTCAGCTACAGTGAGTGTGTACTGCACTGTATGTCTTGACTGTCATTCTGTATGTGTCCGCAGGGTGGCGATGAAGAGCTCGGAGTTGCTGTACCTGTATGGACGGCTGGACCGGCGGGTGTATTTCCTGGTATTCAGTGTTCGGTGCTGGGCCCGGCCCACAGTATCACCAGCTCTATACCTGGAGCCTGGATCACCAACTTCTCTCTCACTGTCATGGTCCTGTTCTTCTTCCTGCAGAGGAGGACTGTTCCTATACTACCCACCCTGGACCACCTCAAGGAACTAGCAGGTAGAGAGAGATACACACACACACACACACACAGAGAAGAACCAAGCCCATACTGCCCACCCTGGACTGCCTCAAAGATGTAGCAGGTAGCTAACAATGGAGCACTGAGCAGCAACTTCTTTTAACAAAAATCTATACGATCAGTATCACCTCAAAGAGCTAGCAGGTAGTAGTATGTAGTCTTCCATTGCTACACTTCCTAGTTGTATTCAGAAATGTGGAAATTAAGGTTCAGCCGGTAGCAATGGACCATTGAGCGAGTGGCAATTGGGTTATACAATTATTTATTAAATAGATTTGATTGTTGATCCTAATCATCAACAAATATCTATGTTGGTGTAGTCCAGTCATGCTCCTCAAGCCACTGCTCGTACTCCTGTTTCTCTTGTCAACTTGGCTCTCAGATAATTGCCTTCCAAAAGCAATCTATCCCCCCTCCCTCCATCTTAGCCCAGACAGAGACACTATCCCAGGCATCGTCACAATAAAGGCCCTATCACTCTGGCAGAGGGCTTTGACCCTCCCAGCACTGGGCAGCTATTTAACCTCGTGCACACACACACACACACACACATAACCAATCTCTTCTACGATCCTCAGCTGACATGGTCAAGGAGTCTGGTGCTAATGCTCTGATGGAGAGCCAGGCTTGATCAGGACTCTCACTTTTCCTATCTCTCTCGCTCTCTTTTCCCCATGACATACTGTATTGGCTCCCTCTATTAGAGCTGGGACGATAAGCTGAAAATTATCGAGAGCGATCACTTATCACAGGCATTTTGCTGATATTGTTCATTGTGATAAAGTAGCCTATACTACAGAAATGTGAAGTTTGAAATGAAATACGTTTGTTAATATGGCCGATTGTTAACGGCACTATTGATGTCTACAACCATCAAACTAGTAGTAGCAGTTTAAAGGATATTTACTTTAGACTGTCGTGCACATTAATGTTATAAACGTATCGTTCTATTTATCGTTATCACATCAATTCAGGCAATTTATCGCAATATGGATTTTTGTCCATATCACCCAGCTCTACTCTTTTTGCTGTCTCTTCCTCCTTTTTGTTCCCTCCCTCTACCCCTCGCTCTCTTTTTCTGGTTTGTAATCGCCCTCACTCTTTTATTTGACCTCTTCCTCTTTTTTGCTCTATCCATCCCAATTTTGTTTGCAATCTCTCTATCTTCTCCCTCTCTCTCTTTGCTTGTCTGTTTTCTGAGTGACACCATCCATCTTTGTCTTGTTTATGGACATCATCGCTGTGTACATAGACATATGTTGTATGTCATTTACCTTGTGTTCCCCCTTTTCCCCTATAAGGCCCTAGATACAGTGCATTCGGAAAGTATTCAGACCCCTTGACTTTTTCCACGTTTTGTTACGTTACATAAGCTTGTAGCGTCATACCCAATAAGACTCGAGGCTGTAATCGCTTCCAAAGGTGTTTCAACAAAGTACTGATTAAAAGGGTCTGAATACTTATCTAAATGTGATATTTATTTATTTTTAATTTGGAAAAATGTCTAAAAACCTGTTTTCACTTTGTCATTATGAGGTATTGTGTGTAGATTGATGAGGATTATTTATTTATTTAATCCATTTAGAATAAAGCTGTAACGTAACAAAATGTGGAAAAGGGGAAGGGGTCTGAATACTTTCTGAATGCACTGTATGTGTAGTGTGTCATTTACCTTGTGTGTAGTGTGTTACTTAGCGATGTGTGTACCATGTCATTAACCTTATGTTCCCCCTCTGCCCCCCCTCTCCTACAAGGCCCTCTGGATAAGAGTGTCATCGAGGGAAACGACTGCACGTTTGTCAGCGACCTCACTAAAATACAAGTGCAGGACAACACAGAGACATTAGGTGGGCCCATAGCTAGGGCCAGGCGTTTTGGTAGTTTTTTTGTGGGTTTTGTCTTTGTCCGGTATTTCCAGCATTATCCACTGGAAATGCTCTTTAATCCTAGGAAATGCTCTTTAATTGACACAAGCTGTCTCTAATCATTCAATGTCTGGTTGTGCATGAGTGTTTGGTGGGGGGGGTCGTCTAAACCAGGGGAGGTGTAGCATACGAATCTTAATTGCACAAAGCCTATTATTTGGCAGGGAATACTATTTGTAGATCAGATTCTACACTTCACTTTGCTCAAACTGATCCTCTTCAACAGACTCAATCCCTGATAATCAGAGGTTATAAAAATGGGACAAATAGGACAGTTAAAGAGGAGAGACTATGAATCCAAGAAAAAAAATTTAACATCTAAATCACAATATTGCTTGAAAAAACAGTGTGCCAATACCCTGCTGGGACGCTCTTTGCAGACAACAATATATTCTGCAAAAGCTGCAATTTAGCATTACATTATAAATGGAAAGACAGGATAGACAGCCATCTGAAAAATATATATCAGCCAGAAAAACTTTAACGTCTTCACCCAGCTCCTACAATATATGAAGAACATATTAGTCTTGTGTGTCAGCGGATTTGTGCATTATTATGGAGATTTCTAAAAATAAATGTACCAGACTCCGTTCTTTACATGTTTTAATTAATGCGCGCATTTTGGGATTGTCAACTTTTTAGAGAGGGATGTTGGCGCTTGCAAAAGCCATATGCTCAGCATTTACGTTGTTACATGTATTTCTATAGCGAATGAAAATGGCTACTTTGTTTGGAAATAACCTACATTTTCTTAGATAAAATGCTTATTATTTCATATAATGTTGATAACAGACAATGAATAAGTTAAATATTTGTTGATAATGTCCATAAGATAGGCAAGAAATGTGGTGCATTAGGCTAAAGCATAGGCTGCTGATGAGAATAGTTGTTGGAGAACATTTAATTTGAAGTCTCCACATGGCTGGGAATTTATTTTGGACTAATTGGATAATTACCTTAGATGATCATGGTATTCAGACGTTACAATTCATTCACACATGGTGCAAGAAGGTGTTACAGTTGAAGTCGGAAGTTTACCTACACCTTAGCCAAATATATTTAAACTCAGTTTTTCACAATTCCTGACATTTATTCAGAGTAAAAATACCCAGTCTTAGGTCAGTTAGGATCACCAATTTATTTGAAGAATGTGAAATGTCAGAATAATAGTAGAGAGAATGATTTATTTCAGCTTTTATTTATTTCATCACATTCCCAGTGGGTCAGAAGTTTACATACACTCAATAAGTATTTGGTAGCATTGCCTTTAAATAGTTTAACTTGGGTCAAACGTTTCGGGTAACCTTCCACAAGTTTCCCACAATAAGTTGGGTGAATTTTGGCCCATTCCTCCTGACAGAGCTGGTGTAACTGAGTCAGGTTTGTAGGCCTCCTTGCTCGCACACGCTTTTTCAGTTCTGCCCACCACTTTTCTATAGGATTGAGGTCAGGGCTTTATGATGGCCACTCCAATACCTTGACTTTGTTATCCTTAAGCCATTTTGCCACAACTTTGGAAGTATGCTTGGGGTCATTGTCCATTTGGAAGACCCATTTGCGACCAAGCTTTAACTTCCTGACTGAGCTAAACGGTAGAGCTGCCGCTTTAAAGGAGCGGGACTCTAACCCGGACGCTTATAAGAAATCCCGCTATGCCCTCCGACGAACCATCAAAGAGGCAAAGAGTCAATACAGGACTAAGATTGAATCGTACTACACCGGCTCTGACGCTCGTCGGATGTGGCAGGGCTTGAAAACTATTACAGACTACAAAGGGAAGCACAGCCGCGAGCTGCCCAGTGACACAAGCCTACCAGATGAGCTAAACCACTTCTATGCTCGCTTCGAGGCAAGCAACACTGAAGCATGCATGAGAGCACCAGCTGATCCGGATGACTATGTGATCACGCTCTCTGTAGCCGATGTGAGTAAGACTTTTAAGCAGGTCAACATTCACAAGGCCGCAGGGCCAGACGGATTACCAGGACATGTACTCCGAGCATGTGCTGACCAACTGGCAAGTGTATTCACTGACATTTTCAACATGTCCCTGACTGAGTCTGTAATACCAACATGTTTCAAGCAGACCACCATAGTCCCCGTGCCCAAGGACACTAAGATAACCTGCCTAAATGACTACCGACCCGTAGCACTGACGTCTGTAGCCATGAAGTGCTTTGAAAGGCTGGTCATGGCTCACATCAACACCATTATCCCAGAAACCCTAGACCCACTCCAATTTGCATACCGCCCCAACAGATCCACAGATGATGCAATCTCTATTGCACTCCACACTGCCCTTTCCCACCTGGACAAGAGGAACACCTACGTGAGAATGCTATTCATTGACTACAGCTCAGCGTTCAACACTATAGTGCCCTCAAAGCTCATCACTAAGCTAAGGATCCTGGGACTAAACACCTCCCTCTGCAACTGAATCCTGGAGTTCCTGACGGGCCGCCCCCAGGTGGTAAGGGTAGGTAACAACACATCTACCACGCTGATCCTCAACACGGGGGCCCCTCAGGGGTGTGTGCTCAGTCCCCTCCTGTACTCCCTGTTCACCCATGACTGCATGGCCAGGCACGACTCCAACACCATCATTAAGATTGCTGATGACACAACAGTGGTAGGCCTGATCACCGACAACGATGAGACAGCCTATAGGGAGGAGGTCAGAGACCTGGCCGTGTGCTGCCAGGATAACAACCTCTCCCTCAATGTGACCAAGACAAAGGAGATGATTGTGGACTACAGGAAAAAAAAGAGGACTGAGCACGCCCCCATTCTCATCGACGGGGCTGTAGTGGAACAGGTTGAGAGCTTCAAGTTCCTTGGTGGCCACATCACCAACGAACTATCATGGTCCAAACACACCAAGACAGTCGTGAAGAGGGCACGACAAAACCTATTCCCCCTCAGGAGACTGAAAAGATTTGGCATGGGTCCTCAGATCCTCAAAAAGTTATACAGCTGCACCATCAAGAGCATCCTTTCTGGTTGCATCACCGCCTGGTATGGCAACTGCTCGGCCTCCGACCGCAAGGCACTACAGAGGGTAGTGCGTACGGCCCAGTACATCACTGGGGTCAAGCTTCCTGCCATCCAGGACCTCTATACCAGGCGGTGTCAGAGGAAGACCCTCAAAATTGTCAAAGACTCCAGCCACCCTAGTCATAGTCTGTTCTCTCTGCTACCGCACGGCAAGCGGTACCGGAGCGCCAAGTCTAGGTCCAAAAGGCTTCTCAACAGCTTCTACCCCCAAGCCATAAGACTCCTGAACAGCTAATCATGGCTACCCAGACTATTTGCACTGCCCCCCCCCCCCCCACCCCCACCCCATCTTTTTACGCTGCTGCTACTCTGTTAATTATTTATGCATAGTCACTTTAACTCTACCCACATGTACATATTACCTCAACTACCTCAACTAGCCGGTGCCCCCGCACATTGCCTCTGCACCGGTACCCCCCTGTATATAGCCTCCCTACTGTTATTTTATTTTACTTCTCAACACTTTTTTGTTGTTGTTTTATTTAAAAATAAATGCATTGTTGGTTAAGGGCTATAAGTAAGCATTTCACGGTAACCTGTTGTATTCGGCGCATGTGGCAAATAAAATTTGATTTGATTTGATGTCTTGAGATGTTGCTTCAATATATCCACATAACTTTCCTTCCTCATGATGCCATCTATTTTGTGAAGTGCACCAGTCCCTCCTGCAGCAAAGCACCCCCACAGCATGATGCTGCCACCCCCGTGCTTCACGGTTGGGATGGTGTTCTTCGGCTTGAAAGCCATCCCCTTTTTCCTCCAAACATAACAATGGTCGTTATAGCCAAACATTTCTATTTTTGTTTCATCAGACCAGGGGACATTTCTCCAAAAAGTACGATCTTTGTCCCCATGTGCAGTTGCAAACCGTAGTCCGTTTTTTTATGGCGGTTTTGGAGCAGTGGCTTCTTCCTTGCTGAGCGGCCTTTCAGGTTATGTTGATATAGGACTCGTTTTACTGTGGATATAGATACCTTTGTACCTGTTTTCTCCAGCATCTTCACAAGGTCCTTTGCTGTTGTTCTGGGATTGATTTGCACTTTTCGCACCAAAGTACGTTAATCTCTAGGAGACAGAACGCGTCTCCTTCCTGAGCGGTATGACGGCTGCGTGGTCCCATGGTATTTATACTTGCGTACTATTGTTTGTACAGATGAACGTGGTACCTTCAGGTGTTTGGAAATTTCTCCCAAGGATGAACCAGACTTGTGGAGGTCTACAATTTTTTTTCTGAGGTCTTGGCTGATTTCTTTTGATTTTCCCATGATGTCAAGCAAAGATGCACTGAGTTTGAAGGTAGGCCTTGAAATACATCCACAGTTACACCTCCAATTGACTCAAATTATGCTGTCACGATCGTCGACAGATGAAGCGGACCAAGGCGCAGCGTGATAAGCGTACATTCTTTAATTAGTACACACACGAACCAAAACAATAAACCAAACGATACGTGAAGTCCTAGGTTATACACAAAACCCTACGGAACAAGATCCCACAACCTAACCTGCCAAAAGGCTGCCTAAGTATGGTCCCCAATCAGAGACAACGAGCTACAGCCGTCTCTGATTGGGAACCACCCTGGCCAAACATAGATATAAACGATCTAGAACAAAAACCAATGAAAACTAAACATAGAAAATCCACACCCTGGCTCAACAATTAAGAGTCCCCAGAGCCAGGGCGTGACAGATGCAAATGATCAGAAGCTTCTAAAGCCATGACATCATTTTCTGGAATTTTCCAAGCTGTTTAAAGGGACAGTCAACTTAGTGTATGTAAACTTCTGACCCACTGGAATTGTGATACAGTGAATTATAAGTGAAATCATCTGTCTGTAAACAATTGTTGGAAAAATTACTTGTGTCATGCACAAAGTAGATGTCCTAACCAACTTGCGAAAACAAAAGTTTGTTAACAAGAAATTTGTGGAGTGGTTGAAAAATGAGTTTTAATGACTCCAACCTAAGTGTATGTAAACTTCCGACTTCAACTGTATATCGGCCTCTTGAGGTCGGATAATCGAAATGTGATTTTTTTTAACATAAATGCCATATGATTATTTTGTATACATTTTATTTCCACATTAAAACAGGTTTCTTAGTCAGTATAAATGTGGTATTTGTTATACTCTTTGTGATTCCTTTCAGAGCAGTTGCTGCAGGAGTTCTTTGAGTTCTACAGAACCTTCGCATTCAACCACATGTCCATAAACATCAGAAAGGTAACAGGCACACACAGTCCATTCTGTTTTTAAAAGTTATTTTATGTTCATTGAAAGCTTTAAACAGAAATAGCCTTCCTTCTTCCTTCTCTGGAACCCTTTCAGCTGTAAGCTGTAAAGTAACAATCCTTTCAGAAGTGATTCCAGCAGCACTTTCACCCCTGTGCCTAATTGCCATTGTTTCATGGTAGTAGTTTATAATTGGCCAGAAAATGGCTGCAGAAACTATCAGAACCAGATTGGAGAGTTAGCTAACGGCGTTCGAGCTCTTTCATTGCCTAGCTCTCCCTAGTCGCAGGGCTGAGAGCCAAGAGGGGAAGCTGTTGGTAATAAAGTGTGTGTTTGGTGGATCAAACACACACACACCAGCATCGCACTGATGTCTCTCCGTGCCAGCTAAGACTACAGCTGTCAGAGGACTGTGTGATTGATAGCTGCTCCTCCTCTCTACCCATCTCTAATGAACCCAATCAGCAGTTCATCACACTCAGTAAGAAAACACAATCAACATGTTTATTCAATCTTAGACATGTATTAATTTAGGTACAGTTCACCCAGTTTGTTTTTCATTTAATTCCTTTGCTGGCCAAGTTTGTCCCAAATGGCACCCTATTGTCTCTATAGTAGGGATGTGCAACTTTCCCTTTCAAGACGATTCAATACGTATCTAGATACATGGGCTCCGATATGATACAGGAACGATACGTTTTAGTTTGAAACGATTCTGTGCGATTCGGTTTGATTAGAGAACGAATCGATACGATATGATTCGATGCACTAACATTTGTCGCATAAACACATTCATTTAACATTCTAAATAAAAATCTGCTGCTGATGGAGCTCATGAGCTGAGCCTCTGAGCTGACTTCTGTGTGTGTGTGTGTGTGTGTGTGTGTGTGTGTGTGTGGCTGTGTGTAAATGATGTATGTCTATGGTGTATACTATGTAGGCACCTGATCTGAGTCATAGGGGAGACTAGGCATCTACCACCCCACTATCAGATTAGGGAGGACAATGTAGCCTTGTTTTTCGTCCCACCACTTTGGTTCTGAAATTACCATCACCCACTAATTAACCTGTACATTTTGCAGATTAAGTGTTTGAGATAGTAATGTATCAGTATTCATTGTTTACAAATTAGCTATGACATAGCCAATGAATATATAGAACAATTTCATCTCAAAATCGAATGGTTTTGACCATTTAGAAAGATTTTGGTAAGTTTATTTTCTCCTCACGCTTTAGCCGTGCAGTTTTGGTTACAGATGCCTTAAAAAAAAAGTGTTAAACAAATCAAAATATATTTTATATTTGAGATTCTTCAAATAACCACCCTTTGCCTTGATGACATCTTTGCACACTCTTGGCATTCTCTCAACCAGCTTCATGGGGTAGTCACCTGGAATGCATTTCAGTTAACAGGTGTGCCTTGTTAAAAGTTAATTTGTGGAATTTCTTTCCTTCTTAATGCGTTTGAGCTAATCAGTTGTGTTGTGACAAGGTAGGGGGGTATATAAAATATAGCCCTATTTGGTAAAAGACCAAGTCCATATTATGGCAAGAACAGCTCAAATAAGCAAAGAGAAACGACAGTCCATCATTACTTTAAGACATGAAGGTCAGTCAATCCGGAAAATTTCAAGAACTTTGAACGTTTCTTCAAGTGCAGTCGCAAAAACCATCAAGCGCTATGATGAAACTGGCTTTCATGAGGACCGCCACAGGAATGGAAGACCCAGAGTTACCTCTGCTGCAGAGGATAAGTTCATTAGAGTTACCAGCCTCAGAAATTGCAGCCCAAATAAATGTTTCACAGAGTTCAAGTAACAGACACATCTCAAAATCAACTGTTAAGAGGAGACTGTGTGAATCAGGCCTTCATGGTCGATTGTTGCAAAGAAACCACTACTAAACGACACCAATAAGAAGAAGACACTTGCTTGGGCCAAGAAACATGACCAATGGACATTAGACCAGTGGAAATGTGTCCTTCTTGGTGGCAAGAAATTTGTATAATAATTTAAATTGAAAACCTCCAAGTGTTGAATCAAGTGTTGTTTTTTTGTACCAGTTCATAAACCATGTGCCATGGAATCGGTACATTGAAAATGTCTTCCCATTTATCAAAATTTTTGTCCTCAAACAGTGGCGGCTCCTGAAAAAATTCTCAGGAGGGGCAATTTTTCTGATGATTTAGGTGACCTACACACATTTAAAAAAAAGATATGTCCAGCAACAACATGAAGACAGGGGCAGCATATAAGTCAATACCAGAAGCATTTATTGACTGACCTCAAAAGTGTTGGCTTACCAGGGTTGGTGGAGCCCTCAGTTTCATCTTTGCCTCGCAAAGCTAACTCAAACACTCCGCAAAACTTCACACACTGGATTAGCCGGCTGAGGATGTGGCGGTTCTTGCTAATGTCGTAGTAAATATATTTGTTATAGTGAATATGGAATATGATATGTTGAGTAAAATGTTGTGCTAAGATCTATTTAGGTCAGGAGCTGGTTATAAGTTCTGTTCCTATCCAATAACAATGGACAAAAGGGTCCTATCTTGTCAGCCTTGTCAGCAGGTGGCCAAGGACAACACCCACGCCATAGGCCTCTCAGTTCTTCCAACTCACGAGTTCTTGCTCTGAGGACACACACACACACAAACACACACACACACACATCATCACTGTTAAACACACACACACACACACACACATCATCACTGTTAAACACACACACACACACACACAAAAATCCCCTCTCTTAGGCTGAACATTTGAAGACAGAGAACCCGACTCAGAGCCAATGCAACAGTGACAGTAGCCTGGAGGTGACCTCGCCCAACTCATCAGGACCAATCAGAAGATCAGAACTACTAGATTGAACCTACTTCATTTATTGCATAAAATGTCTGCACACAATGTTTCGGGGCTCTCTTCAGATAATAATAATAATAATAATAATAATATGCCATTTAGCAGACGCTTTTATCCAAAGCGACTTACAGTCATGCGTGCATACATTTTTGTGTATGGGTGGTCCCGGGGATCGAACCCACTACCTTGGCGTTACAAGCACCATGCTCTACCAGCTGAGCTACAGAAAGTGGATACTCATGGATGCGCATTGCAATTGTAAAATGTCAACACAATTGGAGACACCACGTCATTTTTGGAGACATGTTATTGACAGTAAACTATTGTAGATGCGACTGCTAACTAAATAAAACATTTTAGCTGGCTAGCTAATCATCTTAGCTAAATGTGGGGCAAACAATTCAGTTATTTACCGTTAATTTGAGGGATTGGGGTGAAAGAAATCGAGTTACATAGTGATACTTTACGATATACTGTATTGACAATATCGCAATATTTTAGCGCTAGTTGGCTGTACCTGCACCAAAACACCATTATTGTTCCTTCATAGCTTGTTCTCAATCTTTTCACATTGGGAGCCAATTAGTTTTCAGCACTTTTATTTCCATGACTGATCAAAACTCGTTGGCTTTCTGATCCCTCTGCAACAGACATATGGTGCGCAATAAAATCACAGTATCGAATCGCAATACGTATAGAATCATGAGACTCGCAATGCTGATGCATATATCTTATCGTGAGGTTCCTGGCAATTCCCAGGCCAAGTTCATTTGCCACAACAAATCTCTTCGCTAGCAAACGCGATGTCTTCTCCAAAACGACAATGTGTCTCCAGCAATGTTTACTTTTTTGACGTTCTATGGCATCTCCACTTTCCAAGCATATATGACCACATGTAATATTTTGGTAAGTGATGCAAATAGTGAACTATGTAGGGCCAGGATGTAAAATATATGTAGCTGCAGCAATTTCTCTTATCTGATATGGTAAGTAATGGGGCTTAATTTATAGCTCCCTAAGAGTTTGACGAACGGGTCCGTGAACGCGATTCCAGATATATTTACCTCTGAATAAACTGCCTTTATTACACCATATCCACATCCAGTAAACTTGTGATTATCAACACTAACCTCATCGTTGTGGCGGCGGACAGCTAGCCTGTATCCCTCGTCATCCAGTTGAGTGAGTGGCAATGTCTTTTTTAGTTCGTACCAATTTTTGGAAAATCCTCGGGTGTAGGACTTTCCGCCTTTAGTAGAAACCTGTTGAATTATTAAATTTGGTCTGGGAGGTCCTAATTGTTTCGTTGCCAATTTATCTTAACTTGTTCGCCGACAAAAAGGAACTTCTTTCAAAGACACAATCGAGTTGGACTGAAGCCTAGCCATTTTGATAGTAGTAGTGAATTGATTGAGGCTGCTACCTGGTCTTTTCTTAGTTACGTTCATTCGTGGTTACGTTATGTATGACGAAAGCGCGTAAGTGCAAGCCCACAGACACCCATAGAGAATGTATTGAAAGCTTTGAAATGTGAAAAAAATAGATTTTACATGACAGGCTATGAGAGACTTCTGGGCGATTTTCAACCTGACTGAAATCGCCCAAAAAACGGGCGGGGCCATTTGAAGCACGACTTTAGCCTGATTTGACATTTAGTGGCTGTCAGATCAGACGTGAACACTGATAACTGCTGTTGCCGTGATATAATTTTTTATAAATTTATAAAAAAAAATTATATATATATATATATTTTTTTTTTTAAATAATTGATTAGAAAAAAAATCCCTTCCTTTTCCCGTTTGGCAGTGCGTCGCCCATATCGCCCTATTGAACAAGCCGTCCCTGTCCTCAAATGAAACTGGTATATTTGTCTATTTATGCCAATTCCTTTCAGCCAATTTGTATCTTTAATATATGGCAGGCAAACAAGTTCCGTACCGTCTCCCTTTTCCACTTGCCTCCTCCATTTTTTTTTGTAATGCTGCAATCAGTTGGTTGTAAGTTTGGATTGAGCAGACATTCCCATATATTTTCGATAGCTGCATATGTGACGTAACTCCACCGTTTCTATTCATAATATCATTAATCAATATAATACCAATTTTAAACATTTTCTCCATAAAGAATGTTTTTCTTTTATTAATCAGTATATTTTAGTTTAACCATAACATTTGTTGTAATATTTGTTCTATCTTTTCTGGAGGATAAAACTGAAATTGTAACCAGCTTTGTATGGCTTGTTTAAGAAAGGGCGATACTTTAAACAACATTTCATTTTCAATTAGTCGGAAATGAGAAGTTGTAGTCTGTATAAAGGCAAAAAGGCAATTTTGGAACAAAGGATGAGCCTTTCTTAATAATCTACTGGAGAACCATTTTGAGTTTAAGTATAACTTATGTATGAATGAAGCTTTTAGTGAGAGGTTTAAAGCTTTAATATTTAATAATTTTAGCCCCCCAAACTCATATTCATTATATAAATAGGCACGTTTAATTTTGTCTGGCTTAGCATTCCAAATAAAATGAAATATTTTTTGCTCATATGATTTAAAAAACGAGTTGTCTGGAGTAGGCAGCACCATTAGTAAGTAAGTAAGTAAACTGATAGGACCAAAGAGTTAATAAATGTGATTTTTACATAAATAGACAAGTATTTACCTCTCCATGGTTGCAGAATCGTATCTATTTTGCAAACTTTCTATTGAAATTGATTGTGGTAAGTTAATTTATATTTTCTGAGATGTGAATACCAAGTATGACTACTTCACCATCCACTCATTTTATTGGTAAATTACAAGGTAGTGTAAACACTGTCTTTTAACGATCCAATACTTAATATGGTACGCTTGTCATAATTAGGTTTTAGTCCAGAGAGGCTAAAAAAGTGATCAAGATCTTCAATGAGACTGAGCAGGGATCCAGATTGCAGACTTAAGAAAAAACGTGCATTATCGGCATACATTGACACTTTTGTTTTTATCCCCTGGATTTCTAACCCCTTGATGTTCTTGTTGGATCTAATTTTAATAGCTAGCATTTCAATGGCCATAATAAATAGATATGGAGACAATGGACAGCCTTGTTTTACTCCTCTTAAAACCTCAATACTTTCTGAGAAGTAACCATTATTTACTATTTTACATCTGGGGTTGCTGTACATAACTTTAACCCGTTGTATAAGAGATTCACCGAAATTAAAGTAATCCAGGCATTTATATATAACTTCTAGTCGTACTTTATCAAACGCCTTTTCAAAATCTGCTATGATGACCAGGCCTGGTATCTTAGATGTTTCATAATGTTCAATTGTTTCAAGTAATTGTTGTATATTATCTTCAATATATCGTCCATGTAGAAAACCTGTCTGATCAGGATGAACAATATCTGGTAAAACCTTTTTTATTCTATGTGCTATGCATTTTGCCAGGATTTTCGCATCACAACATTGAAGTGTAAGAGGCCTCCAGTTTTTTAAATGGACTGGATCTTTATACTTACCACCTGGGTCCTGTTTTAGTAGTAATGAAATCAGACCTTCTTGTTGAGTACCTGAAAGTCTGCCATTTTTATAGGAGTAATTAAAACATGCTAATAATGGATCTTTGTGTACATCAAAAAAGGTCTGATACACCTCTACTGGTATACCATCAAGCCCTGGTGTTTTTCCAGACTGAAAATATTTAATTGCCTCAAAAATGTCCTCTTCTGTAAGTTGGCCTTCACACAGGTCTTTCTGTAAATTTGTTAATTGTACATTATTATTATTATTAGGAAAGAAATCCTTACAGTTGACATCATTCAATGGAAATGGAGGAGACTGAAAAGAAAACATATGCTTAGAATATTTTGCTTCCTCTTTCAAAATATAATTTGGTGAATCATGGATGACTCCATTTGTAACGGGTTTCTGTAAATCATTTTTTGTAGCATTTATGTTCAAGATTCTTTTTGGTGCATTTTTCACAATTTTCCATCCAATTCGCTTTATTTTTGTAATAAATTACACTTGATCGTTCTTGAATGAGTACCTCCAATTATTTTTGATTTTCCTCTAACCTATTTTGTGCCTCTATAGTACAGTTACCATTACCATCTACCTGCGCTGTTATTTCCGTTGTCTAATCTCTTTTGACCTAAACTGCTTTTGTTTTAATGATGAGTATTGTATTGAATGGCCTCTAAAAGTACATTTAAAAGTGTCCCATACAATAAGGGGATCTGTTATTTATGTTGTGCAGAAAAAAGTTAATTATGAATTATTTTGTCTTAGTTAAGAACAAATTGTCATCCAATAGGCTTTGATTACATTTCCAATTACTCTGTAAGAGTTATATGGAGGCCAATTAGATGGTGGCCCGATCACATTTGGTCTCCTATTTTTACTTTTGATGCCAGCAAGAACGAGACCAGGAAGTAATCACATAGAGTTAATCAGGCTGTTGATTGTGGCCCTTGGAATGTTGTCCCACTTCTCTTCAATGGCTGTGCAAAGTTTCTGGATATTGGCGGGAACTGGAACATGCTGTCGTACATGTCGATCCAGAGCATCCCAAACATGCTCAATTGGTGACATGTCTGGTGAGTATGCAAGCCATGGAAGAACTGGGACATTTTCAGCTTCCAGGATTTGTGTACAGATCCTTGCGACATGGGGCTGAAACGTGAGGTGATGGCGGCGGATGAATGGGACGACAATGGGCCTCAGGATCTTGTCATGGTATCTCTGTGCATTCAAATTGCCATCGATAAAATGCAATTGTGTTCGCTGTGCGTAGCTTATGCCTGCCCATACCATAACCCCACCGCCACCATGGGTTCACAACGTTGACAGCAAACCGCTCGCCCATATGACGCCATACACCCTGTCTGCGATCTGCCCAGTCAAGTTGAAACCGGGATTTATCCGTGAAGAGCACACTTCTCCATGTGCCAGTGGTCATTGAAGGTGAGCATTTGCCCACTGAAGTCTGTTACGACGCTGAACTACAGTCAGGTCAAGACCCTGTTGAGGACGACGAGCACGCAGATGAGCTTCCCTGAGAAGGTTTCTGACAGTTTGTGCAGAAATTCTTTGTTTGTGCAAACCCACAGTTTCATCAGCTGTCCGGGTTGCTGGTCTCAGACGAACCCGCAGGTGAAGAAGTCGGATTTGGAGGTCCTGGGCTCGGATGTGGAGGTCCTGGGCTGGCGTGGTTACACGTGGTCTGCAGCTGTGAGGCCGGTTGGACGTACTGCCAAATACTCTAAAACGACGTTGGAGGTGGCTTATAGTAGATAAAGTAATCTTTCTACCCCCCCCTAAAAAAACAAAAAAACAATTGTAAAGTGGTTATCCCACTGGCTATAGGGTGAATGCACCAATTTGTAAGTCGCTCTGGATAAGAGTGTCTGCTAAATGACGTAAATGTAAATGTAAATGTAGATAAATTAACATTACATTCTCTGGCAACAGCTCTAGTGGACATTCCTGCAGTCAGCATGCCAATTGCACGCTCCCTCAAAACTTGAGACATCTGTGGCATTGTGTTGTGTGACAAAACTGCACATTTTAGAGTGGCCTTTTATTGTCCCCAGCACAAGGTGCACCTGTGTAATGATCATGCTGTTTAATCAGCTTCTTGATATGCCACATCTGTCAGGTGCATGGATTATCTTGGCAAAGGAGAAATGCTCACTAACAGGGATGTAAACAAATTTGTGCACAACATTTTAGAGGAATAAGCTTTTTTGGGGGGGATCTTTTATTTCAGCTCATGAAATATGGGACCAACACTTTACATATTGAATTTATATTCTTGTTCAGTATAGATCAATGACTGTCAACACAGTTGCATGCTTTTAGTTAATAATGAAGGTGAGGACGCATCAGTTGTCACAAAGGATTAGGTATTTTCGCAAGGTAGAAAGAAGGTAAAATGAGCAAAACATGTTAGTTTATCTGCGATTCATAACGTTTGTATCGATTTTCTGACCGATGCATGCTGCATTTGGATCGGTTTGGGGTCCGTGGACCAATGCAGTCTTATCTTAAACATTTGAATCGGTGACTGATGTGTAATCATTGCATCCCTTCTATATAGTGCACTACTTTTAACCAGGGCCCATAGAGCTCTGGTCAAAAGTAGTGCACTATAGGGAATCTGGTGCCATTTGGGACGCAGACCTCTTCTTTGTTGTTCTTCATCTCCTCATGGCCCCTGAGAGTAGAGATATAGTAAAGACATTAAACCAGGGGGAGTCGTGTGTGTGTGAACCCAGGGTCAGGATTGAAGTATTGAAGGACGGCCTGTAGGAAGACTGGTGGCCATGGCCTCTGCATATAGCCTTTCACCAGTAGAGAAACCACCATTAATCATCTTTAATGTGTACTGTGTCTCTCCTGTCTCCCTCCTCTCCCACTTTCTCTCTCTCTCCTCTCTCGCCCTCTCCTATTCCCGGTCTCCTGCATCCTACCATTTTACATTACATTTGCCATTTTAGTCATTTAGCAGATACTCTTATCCAGAGCGATGTACAGTTAGTGCATTCATCTTAAGATAGCTAGGTGGGACAACCACGTATCACAGTAATAGTAAGTACATTTGTCCTCAAAGTAGCGATCAGAAAAGTCAGAGCTGGCCCTTTCCTCCTCTCTTGCCCCCTTACCCTTTCCCTCTCCTGCCCCTCTCTCTCCTCTCCTGCCCCTCTCTCTCCCTCCCTCTCTCCTCTCTACTCCTTTCCATCTCTCTCTCCTGCCCCTCTCCCTCTGCTCTGACTGATGGCTTTATCGTCCATGGTCATCCCATCTCCATCCCATGGGGTTAAAGGCTCCACCTCTGTTTCTCCATCTATCCATTCAGCCTTTTTACACCCCCTGCTTAGGGGATGGGGTATTGAGGTATTGCATGCCATGCATGCCCTGGATTCAAATAGTTTTTGATTTATTCCAAATACTTTGAGGGGTACGATTGAGCTGGCCTGGGGTGTTAGAGTTGAGGGGTTTGCACCTTTGGGACTATTCCAGTGTTTCCATTGCGTCAGGCAAGGTCAATCAGGCGCAGCTAAAGCGTTTAAAAGACAACAAATGCTATTTGAACCCAGGTGCGTCTGTTGCTTGCATGGAACCTAGTAGGGCTCTGGAGATAGATCTGTAACCTAGGTTTTTATTGTCTGTGTGACAGTTACAGAATAGTACAGAGTCAGAAATGGCACCCTATTCCATATGGTGCACTACTTTTCCAAAGAAGCAATGGTCTAGCTTAGGAGCCAGTCTGTTTCTGCTCTCTTGCCATCTCCTTATGGAATCATAATGTGTAACAAAGAGTTAGCAAGATGGCAGAAATAGATCTTGGACCAGGCTAGTGATGGTGTGGTATGATTGATGATTGAACCTGTGTCTATCCTGCTGGTGCTGCCCCCAGGCCCGTTCCTCAAAGCTAGGCTGACACAACTGTGTCCCAAATGGCACCTTATTCCCTACATACAGTGGGGGAAAAAAGTATTTAGTCAGCCACCAATTGTGCAAGTTCTCCCACTTAAAAATATGAGAGAGGCCTGTAATTTTCATCATAGGTACACGTCAACTATGACAGCCAAATTGAGAATTTTTTTCTCCAGAAAATCACATTGTAGGATTTTTAATGAATTTATTTGCAAATTATGGTGGAAAATAAGTATTTGGTCACCTACAAACAAGCAAGATTTCTGGCTCTCACAGACCTGTAACTTCTTCTTTAAGAGGCTCCTCTGTCCTCCACTTGTTACCTGTATTAATGGCACCTGTTTGAACTTGTTATCAGTATAAAAGACACCTGTCCACAACCTCAAACAGTCACACTCCAAACTCCACTATGGCCAAGACCAAAGAGCTGTCAAAGGACACCAGAAACAAAATTGTAGACCTGCACCAGGCTGGGAAGACTGAATCTGCAATAGGTAAGCAGCTTGGTTTGAAGAAATCAACTGTGGGAGTAATTATTAGGAAATGGAAGACATACAAGACCACTGATAATCTCACTCGATCTGGGGCTCCACGCAAGATCTCACCCCATGGGGTCAAAATGATCACAAGAACGGTGAGCAAAAATCCCAGAACCACACGGGGGGACCTACTGAATGACCTGCAGAGAGCTGGGATCAAAGTAACAAAGCCTACCATCAGTAACACACTACGCCGCCAGGGACTCAACCTGCAGTGCAAGACGTGTCCCCCTGCTTAAGCCAGTACATGTCCAGGCCCGTCTGAAGTTTGCTAGAGTGCATTTGGATGATCCAGAAGAGGATTGGGAGAATGTCATATGGTCAGATGAAACCAAAATATAACTTTTTGGTAAAAACTCAACTCGTCGTGTTTGGAGGACAATGAATGCTGAGTTGCATCCAAAGAATACCATACCTACTGTGAAGCATGGGGGTGGAAACATCATGCTTTGGGGCTGTTTTTCTGCAAAGGGACCAGGACGACTGATCCGTGTAAAGGAAAGAACGAATGGGGCCATGTATCGTGAGATTTTGAGTGAAAACCTCCTTCCATCAGCAAGGGCATTGAAGATGAAACGTGGCTGGGTCTTTCAGCATGACAATGATCCCAAACACACCGCCCGGGCAACGAAGGAGTGGCTTCGTAAGAAGCATTTCAAGGTCCTGGAGTGGCCTAGCCAGATCTCAACCCCATAGAAAATCTTTGGAGGGAGTTGAAAGTCCGTGTTGCCCAGCGACAGCCCCAAAACATCACTGCTCTAGAGGAGATCTGCATGGAGGAATGGGCCAAAATACCAGCAACAGTGTGTGAAAACCTTGTGAAGTCTTACAGAAAACGTTTGACCTGTGTCATTGCCAACAAAGGGTATATAACAAAGTATTGAGAAACTTTTGTTATTGACCAAATACTTATTTTCCACCATAATTTGCAAATAAATTCATAAAAAATCCTACAATGTGATTTTCTGGATTTTTTTCTTCTCAATTTGTCTGTCATAGTTGACGTGTACCTATGATGAAAATTACAGGCCTCTCTCATCTTTTTAAGTGGGAGAACTTGCACAATTGGTGGCTGACTAAATACTTTTTTTCCCCACTGTATATAACATATTGTAGTATTGAGAAACTTTTGTTATTGACCGAATACTTATTTTCCACCATAATTTGCAAATAAATTCATTAAAAATCCTACAATGTGATTTTCTGGAGAAAAAAAATCTCATTTTGTCTGTCATAGTTGACGTGTACCTATGATGAAAATTACAGGCCTCTCTCATCTTTTTAAGTGGGAGAACTTGCACAATTGGTGGCTGACTAAATACTTTTTTCCCCCACTGTACTACACTACTTTTGACCAGAGCACTATGGGGCCTGATCAAAAGTAGTGGACTATATAGGGAATAGAGTGCCATTTGGGACAGAGCCTGCTAGCCCATGAATCAAATCAAATCAAATCAAATTTTATTGGCCACATGCGCCGAATACAACAGGTGCAGACATTACAGTGAAATGCTTACTTACAGCCCTTAACCAACAGTGCATTTATTTTTAACAAAAAAAGTAAAAATAAAACAACAACAGAAAAGGTGTTGAGAAAAAAAAGAGCAGAAGTAAAATAAAGTAACAGTAGGGAGGCTATATATACAGTGGGGTACCGGTGCAGAGTCAATGTGCGGGGGCACCGGCTAGTTGAGGTAGTTGAGGTAATATGTACATGTGGGTAGAGTTAAAGTGACTATGCATAAATAATTAACAGAGTAGCAGCAGCGTAAAAAGGATGGGGTGGGGGGGCAGTGCAAATAGTCCGGGTAGCCATGATTAGCTGTTCAGGAGTCTTATGGCTTGGGGGTAGAAGCTGTTTAGAAGGTGGCTGAAGAGGTGAGATGTACCAGCCAGACCCTTTCTAACTGGGTCCAGGTGGCCTACATAACAGCAACAACACCTGACCTGACCAGCATGACCAATAAGATAGATGGACCATTTATAAAGCCAGTGTTTTTTTGTGTTTTGTCACCCCTCTCTTCTCACTCTCACCGTCTTTTAATCTCTTACTTTCTCCCTCACTCTTCTCTCGCTCGCTCTCTCACAGGGCAGAGAGCAGAACAAACCTGAGGTGTCCCCCTTACATATTCAGAACCCCTTCGAGCCAGCGCTGAACGTCAGTAAGAACGTTAATGGAATGCAGCTGGAGCACTTTGTGGCGTTGTGTCGGGAGAGCGCCTGGATGCTGCAGCAGCGGGAGTTCAACGTACCGCACAGCAGCGGCAGTAACAGGGCCGGTACCGGGAACAATGCTCCCTGGGGCCTGGCTGTGCTCCTCATGCCTTCCATCTCCCAGGCGGCCAAGGTTAAGGGTCGTAAGAAGAGGAAGAGGGAACCGGCCAGCGAGAGGATCAAGAGCTTACTGGAGTCTCTAAAGAACAGGGAGGAGGAGACGACGGGCAACGGTAACAACAGCATGGGGAAGAAGAGCTAGAGAAGAAGATTCATTGTGTTTGAGGGGATCAGTTTGAGACCAGGCGAGATGCAGAATCACTAATCTTGATCAGTAGTCATTTGGGATGCAAAGTGATTTGTAGATCACTCGTTCTGTGCAGTCTGCACACGGTCTTGCAGACCATCACCACTAGATGGAACTGGTGAGGTCTAAGTCTATGCAACATGCAAGCCGAGCCAAGCTGTAATGAGCTGGCCTGGTTAGGCATCCACTATGGTAGCTGGAACTGTCCTGACTAAAATATACAAGCTGGCGCAGTACGGTTTGGATTGGCATGATTCTGTGAAATGGGGTATAAATGTTTCTGTGACCAGATGCTCTTGATAAGAAAGGACTTATGTACTCTCCATGCCGACCGTTGCAAATAATGTACGAAAAGAAGATATGAACTTATAGCATCTGACTATACATCTTTTTGTTTGTTTACATTATATCTTATATATATTTCAGATTTTTTTATTTAATCAGTGTCACAAAATGGACTTTTATAACAAAATGAAAACACTGTGTGGTGGATAATGAACAGTCTGACAATGTTATTTCTAGATTCAACTTTTACCGTCAACTGTCCAAAAACAACGATGCAACCTTCCTAGCTTGTTAGTCAATCCATATTGAAACAGTCCATACCGTTGCTCATCAAGTCAGTGGTCTGGAGGAGAGGAGCCAGCAGTGTGGTTAGTCTGTAAAATAGATGGATCTCTTCCCAGCTACTGGTTGAGCTAACGTCAAATATTTGGATAGAGGCACATTCCATTTTAAACACAAGTCTTTAGTTTTCTCGGGGGAGACTGAAAGAAAGAGACAGGGCCTTAACTTTGTTTCCAGAATCTGCTCATAATGCTTGATTGCCAATTTGGAAGTAGGCATTTCCAACCCAAACCTTAATGATAAGCTCGGCGAACACAAGGTCAAGATATTTTATCAAAACTTCTTGCCACCTAAATACTCTCTGTGAATCCTACCACTGAATAGTTTGCCTTTAGGGAGAAGGAATGTCTGCCTTTTCCAGTTATTGTAAGTTTCTGCTCATTTGCAATTCTTCAAACCATAAGGTACTACTATAGGGCTTTCCGCTCGTGCTTGTATGTATGTGTGTTAGTGTGTGTTTGAGGGAGCAAGAATTTAGCTGTGTTTGAGAGAGTGAGTGAGTGTTTGTGTGTTTGAGAGAGCGACAGAATATGCGTGTGTGTGTGAGTGGCGTAGCAGTGAGTGTCCCAGGAGACAGTGGTTCAGGAGCAGGAGTGTGCGGTGGCCCCACAGCTGTTTTTCCACTCTGTGCAGCATGAGGTCAGGGGGTGAAGGGATCCAGTTTGAAGAGTTCCTCCTCTGCCACGGGGGCACAGCAGTGGGAAGGAGAGGAGCGCCCGTTGCCGCCTCAAAAATATACATTACACACAGAGTACAGGATGGCTTTGAATTTTTCTTCTCTCCCCTTCCCTCCTCTCTGAGTAACTTTAGGTTTAGAGAGAGATTGTGTGTCAGAGGTTTGTTCAGGAGGGTGCAACTGTACAGAACGCTCCAAAATAAATGCATTTTGTAGAACAGATCTGATTCTGTCCTGTACATATGGCTATGGTGTACTATTAGGAATGTATTCATACAAGGGAACAATGATTTAACATGACAAACTCTACTCTTGTATTTATCACTAGTTATGTACTGTAGGTATTCATGTGTTATACAATCCTTATACAAAATGTATGCACTCACTAACTGTAAGTCGTCTGGATAAGAGCGTCTGCAAAATGACAAAAATGGTCAGGGTCACAGTAATGTTATACCTTCTTTAAATGGCTACCTATGTTATGTAACTGACTGGTTCTTCCGTACCAGAGATAAGTATCTAGCCCACCCGAGTGTCTCTGTCTTTGTCCCAAATGGCAAAGGGAATAGGGTGCCATTTGGGACACAACCTCTCTCTTTCTGTGGAGGGGTACTCCTTCTGAAGAGGGTGTAGTGGGTCTAGCACCTCTCCAGGGGTGTGTTTGGCCAACCTGCTTGCGTTGACCCCCATCCTCAGTGTCTCCGGGCAGCAAACCATAGGTTCTGATTTATGAGCCAACATGGCGATAGGTCCGAGATGGATTTGAACACTCAGAGGAACTCCGGAGGTTTTAGAGACGAAGGCGCTGTGGACCTCGTCAGACCTGGGTTCAAATAAAGTTGAACTCTTTCAAGTGCTTTTAGCATTTGCTTTAGCATGCCTTTAGAGACAGCTAGGTGGGGGCTTCAGTTTTGAGACTATTATTTTGGTTCTATTGCGCCAGGCATGCTCAATCAAGCCCAGCTAGAGTATTTTGATTTATTTAATATAGTTGAACCAAGGTCTGATCAGAGTTTATGTTGCTGGGGCTTTTCCTTGGCTCCAAGCCTCTCCCCCTTCAGAGCCTGAAAGAATTTGAAAAGGTGGCTTGAGGGGTTTGAAAAATGGGAGGGATTGGAGAAAAAAAAACTAAGGATAAACAAGATATAAAAATGGTCTTGGCTCGCAGTTGGATTTGGAATTCTACTTTTAAAACTATTTATCAAACTTTTAACCTCTTTAGGGGGACTTCGATGCAATTTAGGGTTTTAAAACCTGGTGTTTAATAGTGGACCAAGGAAGGCCATTTTTATTGTAATTTATGAAATTACTATTACTTTCTATTTTGCTACATGAAAACACATTCCAGTGCTCTAGTGTGTGTCCCCTAAATGTCATCCTATCCCCAATATAGTGCACCAGCACTACCTTTCAAAAGTAGTAGGATACATACAGTGAGGGAAAAAAGTATTTGATCCCCTGCTGATTTTGTACGTTTGCCCACTGACAAAGAAATGATCAGTCTATAATTTTAATGGTAGGTTTATTTGAACAGTGAGAGACAGAATAACAACAAAAAAATCCAGAAAAACGCATGTCAAAAATGTTATAAATTGATTTGCATTTTAATGAGGGAAATAAGTATTTGACCCCCTCTCAATCAGAAAGATTTCTGGCTCCCAGGTGTCTTTTATACAGGTAACGAGCTGAGATTAGGAGCACACTCTTAAAGGGAGTGCTCCTAATCTCAGTTTGTTACCTGTATAAAAGACACCTGTCCACAGAAGCAATCAATCAATCAGATTCCAAACTCTCCACCATGGCCAAGACCAAAGAGCTCTCCAAGGATGTCAGGGACAAGATTGTAGACCTACACAAGGCTGGAATGGGCTACAAGACCATCGCCAAGCAGCTTGGTGAGAAGGTGACAACAGTTGGTGCGATTATTCGCAAATGGAAGAAACACAAAAGAACTGTCAATCTCCCTCGGCCTGGGGCTCCATGCAGGATCTCACCTCGTGGAGTTGCAATGATCATGAGAACGGTGAGGAATCAGCCCAGAACTACACGGGAGGATCTTGTCAATGATCTCAAGACAGCTGGGACCATAGTCACCAAGAAAACAATTGGTAACACACTACGCCGTGAAGGACTGAAATCCTGCAGCGCCCGCAAGGTCCCCCTGCTCAAGAAAGCACATATACATGCCCGTCTGAAGTTTGCCAATGAACCATAGTCACCAAGAAAACAATTGGTAACACACTACGCCGTGAAGGACTGAAATCCTGCAGCGCCCGCAAGGTCCCCCTGCTCAAGAAAGCACATATACATGCCCGTATGAAGTTTGCCAATGAACATCTGAATGATTCAGAGGAGAACTGGGTGAAAGTGTTGTGGTCAGATGAGACCAAAATGGAGCTCTTTGGCATCAACTCAACTCACCGTGTTTGGAGGAGGAGGAATGCTGTCTATGACCCCAAGAACACCATCCCCACCGTCAAACATGGAGGTGGAAACATTATGCTTTGGGGGTGTTTTTCTGCTAAGGGGACAGGACAACTTCACCGCATCAAAGGGCAGATGGACGGGGCCATGTACGGTCAAATCTTGGGTGAGAACCTCAGCCAGGGCATTGAAAATGGGTCGTGGATGGGTATTCCAGCATGACAATGACCCAAATCACACGGCCAAGGCAACAAAGGGGTGGCTCAAGAAGAAGCACATTAAGGTCCTGGAGTTTCCTAGCCAGTCTCCAGACCTTAATCCCATAGAAAATCTGTGGAGGGAGCTGAAGGTTCGAGTTGCCAAACATCAGCCTCGAAACCTTAATGACTTGGAGAAGATCTGGAGTGGGCTGAGGTTCGAGTGCCAACATGCAAGCCAATCAATTGAACATGCTCTAATCGACTGTTCATTAAAATTATAGACTGATCATGTCTTTGTCAGTGGGCAAACGTACAAAGTCAGCAGGGGATCAAATACTTTTTTCCCTCACTGTACCTATATTTCAAATCAAATTGTATTTGTCACATAGGTCGAATACAACAGGTGTAAACCTTACCGTGAAATGCTTACTTACAAACCCTTAACCAACAATGCAGCTTAAGAAATAGAGTTAAGAAAATATTTACTAAATAAACTAAAGTAAAAAATAAAATAAAAAGTAACAATAAAATAACAACAACGAGGCTATATACAGGGGGTGCCGGTACCGGGTCAATGTGCGGGGATACAGGTTAGTCGAGGTAATTTGTACATGTAGGTAGGGGTAAAGTGACTATGCATAGATAATAAAAAGCAGCAGTGTAAAAACAAAGGGGGGGGGGGGTTCAATGTAAATAGTCTGGGTGGCCATTTCATGAATTGTTCAGCAGTCTTATGGCTTGGGGGTAGAAGCTGTTAAGGAGCCTTCTGGACCTAGACTTGGCACTCCGGTACCGCTTGCCGTGCGGTAGCAGAGAGAACCAGTCTATGACTAGGGTGGCTGGAGTCTTTGACATTTTGAGGGCCTTCCTCTGACACCGGCCTGGTATAGAGTCCTGAATGGCAGGGAGCTTTGCCCAGTGATGTACTGGGCCGTACGCACTACCCTCTGTAGTGCCTTGCGGTCAGAGGCCAAGCAGTTGCCATACCAGGCGGTGATGCAACCAGTCAGGATGCTCTCGATGGTGCAGCTGTAGAATTTTTTGAGGATCTGAGGACCCATGCCAAATATTTTTAGTCTCCTGAGGGGGAATAGGCTTTGTCGTGCCCTCTTCACGACTGTCTTGGTGTGTTTTGGACCATGATAGTTTCGTTGGTGATGTGGACACCAAGGAACTTGAAGCTCTCAACCTGTTCCACTACAGCCCCGTCGATGAGAATGGGGGCGTGCTCAGTCCTCTTTTTTTTCCTGTAGTCCACATCATCTCCTTTGTCTTGCTCACATTGAGGGAGAGGTTGTTGTCTTGGCACCACACTGACAGGTCTCTGACCTCCTCCCTATAGGCTGTCTCATCTTTGTCTGTGATCAGGCCTACCACTGTTGTGTCGTCAGCAAACTTAATGATGGTGTTGGAGTCGTGCTTGGCCACGCAGTTGTGGGTGAGAAGGGAGTACAGGAGGGGACTAAGCACGCACTCCTGAGGGTCCCCAGTGTTGATGATCAGCGTGGCAGATGTGTTGTTGCCTACCCTTACCACCTGGGGGCGGCCCGTCAGGAACTCCAGGATCCAGTTGCAGAGGGAGGTGTTTAGTCCGAGGGTCCTTAGCTTAGTGTTGAGCTTTGTGGGCACTATGGTGTTGAACGCTGAGCTGTAGTCAATGAACAGCATTCTCACATAAGTGTTCCTTTTGTCCAGGTGGGAAAGGGCAGTGTGGAGTGCGATTGAGATTGTGTCATCTGTGGATCTGTTGGGGCAGTATGCGAATTGGAGTGGGTCTAGGGTTTCTGGGATGATGGTGTTGATGTGAGCCATGACCAGCCTTTCAAAGCACTTCATGGCTACCGACGTGAGTGCTACGGGGCGGTAGTCATTTAGGCAGGTTACCTTCGCTTTCTTGGGCACAGGGACTATGGTGGTCTGCTTGAAACATGTAGGTATTACAGACTCGGTCAGGGAGAGGTTTAAAATGTCAGTGAAGACACTCCGCGCATGCTCTGAGTACATGTCCTGGTAATCCGTCTGGCACCGCAGACTTGTGAATGTTGACCTGTTTAAAGGTCTTGCTCACATTGGCAACGGAGAGCATGATCACACAGTCGTCCGGAACAGCTGGTGCTCTCATGCATGCTTCAATGTTGCTTGCCTTGAAGCGAGCATAAAAGGCATTTAGCTCATCTGGTAGGCTCGCGTCACTGGGCAGCTCGCGGCTGGGTTTCCCTTTGTAGTCCGTAATAGTTTGCAAGCCTTGCCACATCCAACGAGCGTCGGAGCCGGTGTAGTAGGATTCAATATTAGTCCTGTATTGACGCTTTGCCTGTTTGATGGTTGTCTGAGGGCATAGAGGGATTTCTTATAAGCGTCCGGATTAGTGTCCCGCTCCTTGAAAGCGGCAGCTTTAGCCTTTAGCTTGGTGCGGATGTTGCCTGTAATCCATGGCTTGTGGTTGGGAAATGTACGTACGGTCACTGTGGGGATGACGTCATCGATTCACTTATTGATGAAGCTGGTGACTGAGGTGGTATACTCCTCAATGCCATTGGATGAATCACGGAACATATTCCAGTCTGTGCTAGCAAAACAGTTCTGTAGCGTAGCATCCGCGTCATCTGACCACTTCCGTATTGAGCGATCCACTGGTACTTCCTGCTTTAGTTTTTGCTTGTAAGCAGGAATCAGGAGGATATAATTATGTTCAGATTTGCCAAATGGAGGACGAGGGAGAGCTTTGTATACGTCTCTGTGTGTGGAGTAAAGGTGGTCTAGAGTTTTTTTTCCTCTGGTTGCACATGTGACATGCTGGTAGAAATGAGGTAAAACGGATTTAAGTTTGCCTGCAAGTCCCTAGCCACTATGTGCGCCGCTTCTGGATGAGCATTTTCTTGTTTGCTTTTGGCCTTATACAGCTCGTTGAGTGAGGTCTTTCCAGGGGGCCTTATCTCTCAGACCACTTTTACATGCTCTTTTTTGCAAACCACCTGATCCATGCTACTAGCACTTACCTCCCCAGGCTCCACACACAGGGTACGTTCCAAATGGCACCCTATCCCCAATATAGTGCACTACTTTTGACCATGGCCCATAGGGCTCTGGTCAAAAGTAGAGCGCTATATAAGGAATAGGGTGCCATTTAGGACCTGTGCATAGTGGGGAAAGTCATCTCCAATCACTTCCCCTCCCAGTTCCATGAATTGTCCTGACAGCATTGTGAGAGCTTATAACACCATGCAGCTTCCGTAGGTTGAGGGACAACTATCCAAGTCTCCCAGGCAGTGTATCAGTGTAGTTCCCCCAACCTCACTACAACCATTCACCCGTCAACATAAGCATAGCTGTCTCACTCCCAACACTCTCTCTTTCTCTCCCTCGCTCTCTTTTTCCCTGTTTCTCTATCTTTCTCTATGTGCCCCCCCCCCCCTCTCTCTTTCACATGTGAGGAGTGTAGGTGGAGCAGGAATGATCCTGTCGCACGCTCTGGTCCTATGAGGTTATCAGTGTGTGTATCTCTCTCCTCTAGAGTTATCCCACAGTCACTGTAGTTACAGTGGCACGTCAGGTTCTACTTTCAGTCACTGAAAGCTACCAGGTCTGACAAAAACAATCTATCACAGTTTAAATAACGGAAACCCCCAAAGAAAGCAGAGTAGGGGAAGCCATTGGCGACTGGACCAATAATGTAAGCAGTGTGTAGTGTAAGGGGATGCCTCAGTCTCACTGTACTGTACCAAGAGATCCATTGTTTTAGGTCAGGATTCAGGGTGCTCTGCTGCCTAATTGGTGCCTGGCACAGGGTTGGTAATTCAATTGAATGTTGGCACCATGGTCGTTTGCACATCCTTTATATCCGTTATAGCAGACCTAGGATGGATGAGTGAGAATGCCCCTCATTCAGTAGCCTACAGTTCATGGATGCAGGCCTCTATTGATAGAATATCTGTGTGGCTTTAATTAATAAAAGGAACTGGATTGTGGTCCTACACCATACACAGTTTAATTGTACCCCCCAACCCCATCGGAATGAAGGGGTGAGTCCGTCGCCAGGGTAACACACTCTTCAGAAAACTTGGTTTGCGTCACAAATGGCACCCTATTGCCTATATAGGCCACTTCTTTTGACCAGGATCCTGATCAAAATTAATGCACTATAAAGGGGATAGGGTGTCATTTGGGACGCATCCTCAATGTCCATTCCTACCTCCGGTCGTCTCTTTTCCATGGCTGGGAGGCTGGCCTGGGGATGGGCTTCTTATACAAGCTGCTCACTTGAAAAGGATGAGATGGCAACGTTTGTACAACGTTGTTACTGTACATCCTGTCTGGTTAAATCCAGCATTGTTTGGGATGAGGACTGGGACTGGTAGGCTACTGTCCTGCCCATGTGAATGCCCTATTAAGGCCAGCTGTTTGGTCCCCCCTGGTTGGTCTCAAAACAAAGCCCTGTGTGTCCAGTGTGGGCCTTTATGTGGTTGGCCCTGGACACTGTCAGGATCCATGATGCATCCAGGGGGGCTGGAGCAGTCTGTCCCTGGGCTGAGGGAGGGTAGATGGAGACCGATTTAGTATGACTCTATGCCAAAGAGATTATCAGCACCCCCACAGTGCCAGATCTCTCCTCCCTCTCTCATTAGCAGCCAGAACTAGCCATATCAGCTGTGAGAGAGCCTAACTCCTGGCTCCCCAACACACATACACACCCCATCTCTACCTCCCATTGCCCTAAAAAACACCATGCTTTAAGACCATCTGACTGCCGCTATCAGGGGACACAATTACCACCACACCAAATATAGCCTTCCTGGGATACATTCATCCTGTTAATCTGATTTCTGTTGTACCATATCACTTCAATTAGCCAAACACAGCCTTTTTCTCTCCACCTCTTTTGACCAGCAGAATGAGGGCAGTGAGTTATAGTACTTTAAATAACAAGGGGCTGTTAGCTAGCTGCTCTGCAATACCATGTGGTAGAGTCCATTGGCGGCACGTGAGTTTCAAGTTTGAGGAAGCTAATTTTCCCCATTAAAATGCACCTTTATAATAAGGCATTCCATGCATCATCGCATTTGCAGACTTATGTAAGATAGGCTACATTCGTAATGTGATGAGTAGATTGGATAGTCATCATTTAGGCTAATAATATAACTCAATCACTTTTCGCAAAAAAATACTGTTTAATGCATGGCTGAGCGTGCATAGCGTAGAGTAGGCATAGGCTATAGGCCAGGGTTCCCCAACTGGCGGCCCGCGGGCGAATTTGGCCTGAGGATGGTTTTATTTGGCCCCCCAAGTTTTCTGAGGAAAAATATTAAGAAAATATATATTTTTTAGCATTTTCATTGTTGCACATAAGACTGTAAAAACTCCAGGAAATCAGCTCCAAGTGATTTTAATTTAAGATATGTGTTTCCAAGTTTTTCCACGCTTAATAGAGAGACACATGATAGTATACAAATATAAGCAAGGTTTGAAATGATTATGTTTTAGTCAAACATTATGTCTGTTTGGGCTTCTATCGGTCAATTTGCAGTCTACAAATTATTTTGAATTTTGTTCCGGCCCCCAGACCATCCGCTCAAGAAAAAATTGTCCCACGGCTGAATCTAGTTGATGATCCCTGCTATATCAGATACATTTCTTCTTTCTTTGCACAGGAAAAATACATTTCATGCAATTCTACTACACACATTAGCAGAATGTTTTCTAATACAGCAAATTAAAGGACAGCCTACTCTGCTGACACTGACAAACAGATGAATAAAAACAGCATTGTCCATAGGCCTACGAGAATGGGAGACACAAATAGAATATGATGTCCATCTAAACTGGAGGAGGAAATTATTGTCCAAAAACAAATGTTTAGGTGGCACTGACCCAACAATGATAAAGAGTGAATATGCACTCCACTGGTGCCAATAAGATAGGCTATAGCCTACTGTTGTTTGCCCAAATTTGTTGAGAATTTTGATAACTAAAACAGATTAGTCTTTTCATAGTCTTCTCTTTACAGCAATAGCCATTTGTTTCCCAAACTATGTTTTCCCGCGATTGTATTTAGAAATATTGCAACATGCCTGGCTGGTCCTCTCTACTTTTCACTGACAGTCGCAACTCAACAATCATCTATTTGGTATTTGCCGTGCCTGTGGCACAAATTCTGCCTTTCCTTCCAAATGTAGGCAATGCGATTTAAAACAATCCACTTAATTTTTTTTATACAATACCAGTCAAACGTTTGGACACATTCAAGGGTTTTTCTTTATTTTTACTATTTTCTACATTGTAGAATAATAGTGAAGACATCAAAACTATGAAATAACACATATGGAATCATGTAGTAAGCAAAAAAGTGTTAAACAAATATAAATATATTTTATATTTGAGATTCTTCAAATAGACACACTTTGCCTTGATGACAGCTTTGCATACTCTTGGCATTCTCTCAACCAGCTTCACCTGGAATGCTTTGCCAACAGTCTTGAACGAGTTCCCACATATGCTGAGCACTTATTGGCTGCTTTTCCTTCACTCTGCGGTCCAACTCATCCCAAACCATCTCAATTGGGTGGAGTTCGGGGGATTGTGCAGGCCAGGTCATCAGATGCAGCACTCCATTACTCTCCTTCTTGGTAAAATAGCCCTTACACAGGCTGGAGGTGTGTTGGGTCCTGTTGAAAAACAAATTATAGTCCCACTAAGGCCAAACCAGATGGGATGGCGTATCACTGCGGAATGCTGTGGTAGCCATGCTGTTTAAGTGTGCCTTGAATTCTAAATAAATCACAGACAGTGTCACCAGCAAAGCACTCCCCACACCATAACACCTCCTCCTCCATGCTTTAAAGTGGGAAATACACATGCAGAGATCATCCATTCACCCACACGCGTCTCACAAAGACACTGCAATTGGAACCAAAAATCTCCAATTTGGACACCAGACCAAAGGACAAATTTCCACTGGTCTAACATCCATTGCTCGTGTTTCTTGGCCCAAGCAGGTCTCTTCTTCTTATTGGTGTCCTTTAGTTGTGGTTTCTTTGCAGCAATTTGACCATGAAGGCCTGATTCACACAGTCCCCTCTGAACAGTTGATGTTGAGATGTGTCTGTGACTTGAACTCTGTGAAGCATTTATTTGGGCTGCAATTTCTGAGGCTGGTAACTCTAATGAACTTATCCTCTGCAGCAGAGGTAACTCTGGGTTTTCCATTCCTGTGGCGGTCCTCATGAGAGCCAGTTTCATCATGGCGCTTGATGGTTTTTGCGACTGCACTTACATTTACATTTTACATTTTAGTCATTTAGCAGACGCTCTTATCCAGAGCGACTTACAGTTAGTGAGTGCATACATTATTTTTTGATTTTTTCATACTGGCCCCCCGTGGGAATCAAACCCACAACCCTGGCGTTGCAAACACCATGCTCTACTAACTGAGCTACATCCCTGCCGGCCATTCCCTCCCCTACCCTGGACGACGCTGGGCCAATTGTGCGCCGCCCCATGGGTCTCCCGGTCGCGGCCGGCTACGACAGAGCCTGGATGAGCCACTTGAAGACATTTTCCGTAGTTCTTGAAATGTTCCGTATTGACTGACCTTCATGTCTTAAATTAATGATGGACTGTCATTTCTCTTTGCATATTTGAGCTGTTCTTGCCATAATATGGACTTGGTCTTTTACCAAATAGGGCTATCTTCTGTATTAACCCCCCCCCCCCCCCCCAACCTTGTCACAACACAACTGATTGGCTCAAACGCATTAAGAAGGAAATAAATTCCACAAATTAACTTTACAATACCAGACAGAGCTATCGTGTTACCTTAATGAACCCTATTAGGAAGAGTTCTCTCTGTTGGGCCTCCGGTGGAGCTGCTCTGTGCTCTCCATCCTTCCCCCATCCCCTCCCTCCATCCCTTCATCTGAGCTGTTCCGTGCTCCATATCTCCATTGGCTGGCTGGGTTGCTGGGCCACATTACTGTCCGTCTGTCTGACAGCCTAATGAACTCCACCCTAGAGGAGCGAAAACACAGACGTACACCGTCTTCCTCTAGAGCTCCAGACAATGATGGCCTGTTTTAAGGGGCCCTCTAGATGGGAAGAAGGCCAGTGACGCGGGACAGTCTGCTTCAGGCTGGGGGGCGGTAGACAGGCTAATTTAAATGGCATTAGTGATGCGGTCCATAATCAACAACAGGCTATGTGTGTAACCGGGGGTTCCTGCGTGCCACGCGACCTTGAGGATGCTGACCCCATGACCTGGCTGACCTTGTGACTCTGGGGAAGGTTGGCCATTATACCATGCTTACTCATTTAACCTTGTCAGGAGAAGTCCTTATTCTTATACCTGACAACAACAACAACATAGCTTTCAACAACATAACTTAGTAGGGTTTTCTTTCCACAACTTTTCAAAGAAGTAGCCTTAGTTAGTGTTGTACTACTACAGCGTAATGGGCCTGTCCTTATACCTAAACATTTAAGCTCTTGAAGTTCTTACTCTGCCTAATTCTACTGCAATTTATCATAATTTGTTGTTTCAAACATGATAAAACAGTATAACCTTTTCCTTTTTAGTTAATTTCCTTCCAGGTGATATGCGTATGTATGGTAAGGCATACATCCTCAGTGCTGGGTCTGGGTGTGTCTCTTCCTTCCTCAGTGTGTTTAGGTAACAGGAGTGGGTGCCTGAAGACACAGACCAGGCCAGAAGCCTGACTCCATGGTTAAATCCCAAATGGCACCCTATTCCCTATTTAGTACACTACTTTTAACCAGGGCCCACATAGCGCTCTGGTCAAAAGTACTGCACTATTTAGGTACCGTTGAAGTCGGAAGTTTACATACACCTTAGCCAAATACATTTAAACGCAGTTTTTCACAATTCCTGACATTTAATCCTAGTAAAAATTCCCTGTCTTAGGTCAGTTAGGATCACCACTTTATTTTAAGAATGTGAAATGTCAGAATAAGTAGAGAGAATGATTTATTTCAGCTTTTATTTATTTAATCACATTCCCAGTGGGTCAGAAGTTTACATACACTCAATTAGTATTTGGTAGCATTGCCTTTAAATTGTTTAACTTGGGTCAAACGTTTCAGGTAGCCTTCCACAAGCTTCCCACAATAATTTGGGTGAATTTTGGCCCATTCCTCCTGACAGAGCTGGTGTAACTGAGTCAGGTTTGTAGGCCTCCTTGCTCGCACACGCTTTTTCAGTTCTGCCCACAACTTTTCTATAGGATTGAAGTCAGGGCTTTGTGATGGCCACTCCAATACCTTGACTTTGTTGTCCTTAAGACATTTTGTCACAACTTTGGAAGTATACTTGGGGTCATTGTCCATTTGGAAGACCCATTTGCGACAAAGCTTTAACTTCCTGACTGATGTCTTGAGATGTTGCTTCAATATATCCACATCATTTTCCTTCCTCATGATGCCATCTATTTTGTGAAGTGCACCAGTCCCTCCTTCAGCAAAACACCCCCACAGCATGATGCTGCCACCCCCGTGCTTCACGGTTGGGATGGTGTTCTTCGGCTTGAAAGCCACCCCCTTTTTACGCCAAACATAACGATGGTCATTATGGCCAAACAGTTCTATTTTTGTTTCATCAGACCAGAGGACATTTCTCCAAACAGTACGATCTTTGTCCCCATATGCAGTTGCAAACCATAGTCTGGCTTTTTTATGGCGGTTTTGGAGCAGTGGCTTCTTCCTTGTCGATATAGGACTAGTTTTTACTGTGGATATAGATACTTTTGTACATGTTTCCTCCAGCATCTTCACAAGGTACTTTGCTGTTGTTCTGGGATTGATTTGCACTTTTCGCACCAAACTACGTTCATTTCTAGGAGACAGAACACGTCTCCTTCCTGAGCGGTATGACGGCTGTGTGGTCCCATGGTGTTTATACTTGCCTACTATTGTTTGTACAGATGAATGTGGTACCTTCAGGCGTTTGGAAATTGCTCCCAAGGATGAACCGGACTTGTGGAGGTCTACAATTTCTTTTCTGAGGTCTTGGTTGATTTCTTTTGATTTTCCCATGATGTCAAGCAAAGAGGCACTGAGTTTGAAGTTGGCCTTGAAATACATCCACAGGTACACCTCCAATTGACTCAAATGATGTCAATTAGCCTATCAGAAGCTTCTAAAGCCATTACATCATTTTCTGGAATTTTCCAAGCTGTTTAAAGGCACAGTCAACTTAGTGTATGTAAACTTCTGATCCACTGGAATTGTGATACAGTGAATTATAAATGAAATAATCTGTCTGTAAACAATTGTTGGAAAAATTACTTGTGTCATGCACAAAGTAGATGTCCTAACCATCTTGCCAAAACTATAGTTTGTTAACAAGACATTTGTGGAGTGGTTGAAAAATGACCTAAGTGTATGTAAACTTCCGACTTCAACTGTAATAGGATGCCGTTTCAGAAGCAGCCTGAGTCTCCATGCCTAAACCTCAGACAGCAGGTTACAATTCTGGGGCTCAGCCAATACGGGCAGGTTGATTTACCCAATATTTGGATGTGGCTAGGTTTATTTTCCTTTGATTAAATAGGCATTTGGGGCATTTGGTGCAGTCAGGCTTTAGACTCTATAATGCCTTTATTCTGCTCCTAGACCCTCACAGGGGAGTAGAGAGGTGAGGAGCGGGTGAGGAGGAGGGGGAGGAGGGCGGGAGGAGGAGGATGGGGTTGAGGAGAAGGGGGTGGTGGAGAAGGTGGAGGAGGAGGTTGAGAAGGAGGTGGAGCAAGGGGTGAGGTTGGTTGAGAAGGAGGTGGGGGAGGAGAAGCACGTGTTTTGTCTCGTGGTAGCATAATAGCACCCCACTTCTCTTCCCTCTCCCCATTCTCTCTGCTCTTTCTGCTCCTCTTCCTCTCTACCTGTCAGAGCTCTGGCGCAAAATTCCACATATGCCTTTCATTTGGAGAGAAGGGAGCCCAGGAGTGAAGTTATCTTACTGCTCTGGAATGTTCCACCCCTCGCCTTCCTCCACTGTTAACCCAGTTGCTATTAGAGCAAAGGGGGGTAGATAGAGTGGGGTTATTGGAAGAGGGCTGCCTAACTAACGATTGTGTCTGAAATAAATGGACCTCTTTCAAAAATCTGTCCCATTCGTTTGTCTGTCACTCTGTCTATTTGTTCTAGCCTGTCCGAATGGAATGGTGTGAGAGTGGAAGGATGGGCAGATAACATTGGAAAGGTTGAGAGGTGATGACTGGTTAAAATGTACAGCCTGTCGCATGCTCCCCAGTCCCACATATATTATAACAAAACATGTTTTAATTTTTGTTTGTTTTGGTGTTAGGCAGGGTTTTTTTTTCGGCTGTTTGCGCACACTCATGTTTTTCATAAGGCAACTCGAAGTTCGGTAGGTGAAGTTTACGCCCCTTCGTCGGTCATTGATCAACAGTACTACCACAGATAGAACAATGAGCCAGATATTTCACCGGATGTATAAATGTGCAGCATCCCATTGACATTTCCACTAACTACCAAATATGGTGATGAGAAGAAGCCCAGTGGCCGGTAGTGGGAGAAGATGGAGCGAGATGGATTTTGGCCAACACTCTAATTTTCTCATCTATGAAACAGTTTCCAAAACGAGAATATTTTACGAACAGAGTGAACTAAGTTTTGTAGACTTTCCCCTTTGCCAAAGTTTTTAAAAATTGCGTTCTTTAGAAGGAGTGCAAGGGCGAATTTAGCTATTGCACATGCGCACTTCACAGACTAGGCGTTCCCTAACGGAAATATGCAAATACATGTTAGAACGCGCCAATAGGATCTTGCTAGCTCGTGCTTGGCTCTGCCCACTATGATTAATTTGCTCCCATTGGAAACGACAGGCTGTGGTCTATCGTGGGTTAGTTATACAAATCTTTGGTACTACTCCTAGTAGGAGTGGGAACTATGGACAAGATTCTTCAATGAAGTGTTTGTTGTCATTCAACGAGAGACAACTAGTTTTCATGCAAATTCTTTCACTTGAAAAATACTGCACAGAACATCTTATATAACGTAGTTAGATGTCAAATTGCGCGACTAAGGCTTGCTCTGCAAAAATGTCAAAATTAAGTACAGATTTCTTGTAGATTAATTCTGATTATTTTGAGGAAGTGTAAACTGGCTATGTTGTTGCTACGGCATCTAAAGAGGGACAAACATATAATATTCAAGTGAAGGTATTTTAAGGGAGTATGCAAGGCACAGACGTTTGCTTCGCCTAGCCAAGTTCTGCTAGGAGCAAATCGAACCTTGTATGTGGGCGCCTTTACTATATCCAGAATTCCAGATCCTCCCCATCTGTACTGTGTATGAACTTTACACAACTCAGTAGACACGCAAGACAGAGACAGAGCACTGCAGAAGAGTAAGAGAGAGGAAGTGTCACGGATTCTGCCGAGGCTGCCCCTCCTCCTTGCTCGGGCAGGTTTCGGCGTTCGTCGTCACCGGAGTACTAGCTACTGCCGATCTATGTTCTATGTTTCTATGTTCTACCTGTTGTGTCAGATTGTTTCACACCTGTTGCCCATCTTGTGATTACTCCGCCCCTATTTAACCCTGTGGCTCCCATTGTGTTCTGTGCGTGTTTGTTGCTTGTACTCGTATGTCATTGGTGAGCGGATTTATTCCTCCCTGCATGGAGGCTTCTTGTTTCTTTACGAGCTTTAGTAAAGTTACGTTTTTCTCTTGAGTTCTGTGTCCTGCGCCTGACTTCAGTCTACCGCATACACTGACATCGTGACAGAAACACGCACCCCAATGGAGTCAGCAGGAACGACTGGATCTACAGAGACGATGGAGGAACGAGTCCAACGTCAAGGGACGATCCTCCAGAATCTCGGTGAGACGATGGAACGAGTTTTCCAGATGATCGAGCGATTGGCGAGAGGTGGTATCCCTTCACCATGTCCCACCACACCACCACCTGCTACACTGGCTACCACTTCGCCACCTGGGTCCAGTGGGATTCGGCTCTCGCTCCCGAGGGCATATGACGGTACACCTGCCGGGTGCCAGGGATTTCTCCTCCAGGTAGAGCTCTACCTGGCCACCATTCACCCGGCGCCCTCGGGATACGAGAGCGTGTCCGCCCTCATCTCCTGTCTATCGGGGCGGGCGCTTGAGTGGGCTAACGCCGAGTGGAGAAATATAGACTTGAGAACTGTCCGCTACGCGGATTTCACCCGCCGCTTCCGGGCGGTATTCGATCATCCACCTGAGGGGAGAGCGGCGGGAGAACGTCTGGTCCACCTAAGACAGGAGATGAGGAGCGCGCAGGAGTTTGCGCTGGAGTTTAAGACTGTAGCAGCCAGAGCGGGCCCTTATCGACCACTATCGTTGCAGCTTAAGGGAGGACGTCCGTCGGGAACTGGCCTGCAGGGACACCAATCTCAACCTGGACCAACTGGTGGACATGTCCATTCGGTTTCAATAACCTGTTGGCAGCCCGCGGATGTTCTGATGGGGGCCTGTCCATTTCATCTCCCAGCACCTCCGAGCCTACACCTATGGAGCTAGGAGGTGCTGCAGGTAGGCAGACTGGGAGAGAGACTGTCCCCTGCACCAAGTGTGGCCGCAGAGGACACACTGCTGGTCGGTGCAGGGGAGGTTTCTCAGGAGGTCGAGGCAGCAGGCAGAGCACTGGTCGACCGTCTCAGGTGAGTAGGCACCCGACTCACCCAGAGTTCCCTGTTGCTAATATGTGTATCGACATTATGTTTCCAGAATTTTCTCCTCATTCCCAGCATAAGGCGCTAGTAGATTCAGGCGCGGCTGGGAATTTTATTGATCGCCAGTATGCACGCAGCCTAGGGATTCCCACAGTGTCTGTTGATAAACCTTTCCCTGTTCACGCAATAGATAGTCGCCCGTTAGGGTCAGGCATAATCAGGGAGGTCACCGCTCCTCTGCTGATGATGACGCAGGGGGGTCATGAGGAGAGGATTAGCCTCTATCTGATTGATTCTCCTGCGCATCCTGTGGTGTTGGGACTTCCCTGGTTAGCCATTCATGACCCCACTATTTCATGGCAACAGAGGGCTCTCAAGGGATGGTCCAGTCAGTGTTCAGGGAGGTGTTTAGGAGTTTCCTTGGGGGCAACTTTGGTGGAAAGTCCAAACCAGGTTTCCACCATGCACATTCCATCCGAGTATGCCGATTTGGCCATCGTCTTCAGCAAAAAGAGGGCGACTAAATTACCACCCCATCGTCCGGGGGATTGTGCGATAAATCTCCAGGTAGGAGCTGCACTTCCCCGGAGTCACGTGTATCCTTTGTCTCAGGAGGAGAAGGCGGCTATGGAGACATATGTCACCGAATCTCTGAGGCAGGGATACATTCGGCCATCCACTTCACCCGTTTCCTCAAGTTTCTTTTTTGTGAAGAAGAAAGATGGTGGGTTACGCCCGTGCATTGATTACCGTGGCCTAAATCAGATTACCATCAAGTACAGCTATCCATTACCTCTAATAGCTAGTATGACGGAATCATTGCACGGGGCACGCTTTTTCACAAAATTGGATCTCAGGAGCGCATACAACCTAGTGCGTATCCGTGAGGGAGATGAGTGGAAGACGGCATTTAGCACCACCTCTGGACATTTTGAGTATCTGGTCATGCCATACGGGTTAATGAATGCTCCTTCAGTTTTCCAATCATTTGTGGATGAGATTTTCAGGGACCTGCACGGACAAGGGGTAGTGGTGTATATTGATGACATCCTTATATACTCCGCTACACGTGCCGAGCATGTGTCCCTGGTGCGTAAGGTGCTTGGAAGACTGTTGGAGCAAAACCTGTATGCTAAGGCAGAGAAATGCCTGTTCTTCCAGGAGTCCATCTCTTTCTTGGGGTACCATATGTCCGCGTCAGGGGTGAGGATGGAGAGTGACCGCATTTCGGCCGTGCGTAATTGGGCGACTCCAACCACGGTAAAGGAGGTGCAGCGATTTTTGGGTTTTGCTAATTACTACCGGAGATTTATCCGGGGCTTTGGTCAGGTAGCAGCTCCCATTACCTCATTACTGAAGGGGGGGCCGGTGCGTCTGCAGTGGTCAGCGGAGGCGGACAGGGCTTTTAATCGTTTGAAGGACCTGTTTACCTCGGCCCCAGTGCTGAGGTAAACATCCGGACCCCTCTTTAGCCTTCACGGTTGAGGTGGATGCGTCCGAGGCTGGAATAGGTGCTGTACTGTCTCAGCGCTCGGGTATGCCACCTAAACTCCGCCCCTGTGCCTTCTTTTCGAAGAAGCTCAACCCGGCGGAGCGCAACTATGATGTGGGGGACCGGGAGCTGTTGGCTGTGGTCGAAGCTCTGAAAGCGTGGAGACATTGGCTTGAGGGGGCTAAACACCCTTTTCTCATTTTGACTGATCACCGCAATCTGGAGTACATCCGGGCAGCGAGGAGGTTAAACCCTCGCCAGGCAAGGTGGTCCATGTATCTCACCCGTTTTGTTTTCACCCTTTCTTACAGGCCAGGTTCCCAGAACGCTAAGGCAGATGCTCTGTCCCGACTGTATGACTCGGAGGGGAGTTCCGTGGAGCCCACTCCCATACTTCCGGCGTCGTGTCTGGTGGCACCGGTGGTGTGGGAGGTTGACGCGGAGATCGAGCGGGCGTTGCGCAACGAACCCACTCCTCCCCAGTGTCCAGAGGGTCGTGTGTACGTACCGCTTGATGTCCGCGATCGGTTGATCTATTGGGCTCACACGTCACCCTCCTCTGGTCATCCTGGTATCGGTCGGACAGTGCACTGTCTTAGTGAGAAGTACTAGTGGCCCACCTTA